GCACTGAGTGAGTGGCTCCCCTTGAGAGTGCTGCAGGTACAAGGCTGGGGCTCCTGATACCAGGAGCATGTCAACACGCAAACATCTGCAACCAAACGAGGTTTTTACTTTCCCTTTACGGTCAATTAAAATCTGAAGATCAATTCTGTTGCCCAGCCATCGGCATCGGGTGCTACTTGAGATGCCCAGCGGTATCACGTGTCCATTTCCATAAGGGCACAGGTCTCCCATAGGTCTGGTGTCAGATTTACCAGCTCCGGATAGACATGCCGTGTTGTCTGCCCCATCTCAGGTGGCAGTAGATGTGGATAAGCAGCAAGAGGAGAACCTAGAGAAGCACAGGAATGATTCAAACGACCTGACAGGAGAGAGCCCATGTCAATAGCTGAATGCCCACCGAAAGCTGTGAGTGAGAGACGAGGCACAAACGATTCTGGGGAGCTCTGCCACCAGAGCTGAAGGACTGATGGGTGGCACAGACAGAATGTGTACCGCAGGTGCTATCCTAATCCTGTGCGTAAAAGAAAGATTCCAGCTTCCAGCTTCCAGCACTGTCAGTTTGTCATTCTTTGTTCCCACTAAATTCACTTATTTTTTATTTTTCTACCCCTTTTTTTTTTGTTTAAACTTAGCACATAATTCAAGGAACGTAACATTTTAGTTTGACAAGTGGTTTATTCAGGCAGCTGATTTACCAAATCCAAGGCTACTCCCTACAGACTGCTACCAGCAATGTAAGCGTTCCGGTGTAAACCTCTGATTTAATTAAAGAACAAGTTAGACCTCCAAACATCATCTCAGCTGGAAAATCCATAATTAGTTGTACATTTTTCTGAAGGAGCTTTTCCCCCCCCATTTGTCTGAAACCAGGAGAAGGGCTCCATGCATCCATCATAATTTCCCAACGCTTTCAGCTCAGGCATTAGAGACGCTGTGTGGGCAGATTTAATAGGTTCTTTCTAGCTTCCTGGTGGGGAGGATTGCATAACATGTGAGTCAAGACACAAGTCCTCACACTGTGACTGTGACACTCGCAGGAGTGGCACTGTCTGTTGTCAGCTGGGATTACAACAAGCAGCACACCATCCTGCTTGGGGTCGCTGGAGAAAGGCTGATAAAAGTATTCTGCTTTTGCTTCAAAGCAGGGCTTAGCATCACCCACTCTTTGGGAGGAAGGTGCTGGAGCTCCTTTTCTTATCCCAGCTTATCCTTTCACGCTTGGCATTGGATCCTAAGCTTCCTCATTCAGAGGATAAAGCTTTTTTTGGTGATGAGCCCTCCTGCTGAACGTTTTAGAGTCCTGATTTCCTCACAATCTCTTTGGGGTTGATTTTGGCCCTGATTCAGAGCCTTCTGATGCAGTTTTCCCCTCTAAATGGGATAGAAATTCAACATATTATGCAACACTGATAGAAATTTCAAGCTTTCTACACGTTCAGGTCCCTCAAACTGGAGTCTACTTCACAAAATCATACAATCACAGAAAGGCCTGGGTTGAAAAGGACCACGATGAGCATCCAGTTCCAACCCCCTGCTGTGTGCAGGGTCACCAACCAGCAGACCAGGCTGCCCAGAGCCACATCCAGCCTGGCCTTGAATGCCTCCAGGGATGGGGCATCCACAGCCTCCTTGGGCAACCTGTGCCAGTGCTTCACCACCTCTGTGTGAAAAACTTCCTCCTAATATCCAACCTAAACCTCCCCTGTCTCAGTTTAAAACCATTCCCCCTTGTCCTGTCACCATCCACCCTCATAAACAGCCGTTCCCCCTCCTGTTTATGTGCTCCCTTCAAGTATTAGAAGGTCACAATGAGGTCTCCCCGGAGCCTTCTCTATCTGTTTTAATTAAACACTTTCACTGAGGTCTCAACTGGAGCCTCAGTTTCTCGGGTGCTTTTTCATGAGGCAGAATCCAATGCCAAAAGCTCTGCCATTAACGTCATCAGCACGAGTCAAGACCTCATTTCTCACTATTTCTTTCATTGTAGTAATGAGGGACACCTCTATTTTATACTCTGCTTTGCAACGAGTGCATTATTTAAGAGTTATATTTTAATACATTATATTTCACCTTTAAAAGCCCTTGGAATTCATGGAGTTTTGGGCAAAGCAAAAGGCTGTGCTGGTTGGGCCTGTTTCTCTCTGATAATCTTCCACAGCAATGGGCTGCTTTTAATTCCTGCCTGATCTTCATTTCAAGTGACATTTAATTGGAAAGGATTTTAGCATATTACATCTCAGACTGAGTAAAGCTCTGGATATTGTTAGAAAAATTAATAAAGAATTTGAGCAGCTTCCTGTATGATGTGCAAGCGATAAACATTCAGAAAACCCTTCCTCCACCCCTCTCTGCCTGTGAATTGCTCTTCTAAAAATAAAGGGTATGACAGAATTTCTGTATTGTATGACAAGAGAAGCCCTTCAGTCATTCGCAGCTGAGAAAAGCAAATGGCAAGCTTTCTCACAGATGACATTTGGAACTGTTATTAGCACTACAACGTATGGGCTAAACTCTGTTCTCCCTTGTACCACTGTAATTAGGGGAAAATGGCACTGAAATCAAACAGGCTATTCCCTGTACTTCCCAGCAAAAGCAAGGATGGAGGCTGATTCTTGCGGAGGCATCCACTTATTGCTGCCTCTTCCTCACTCCAGGCGCGCTCATATAAAGCACTTTCTTCAGCCTCACCTTGTTAGGTGATGGCTTTTGGGGATGTGTGTAAGCAAGGATGGCCCTGAAACCAGCAAAATTCATCGCCTTTGTAATAGCAGATGGGTTTGGATTTAAAGCCGCATTTCCTTGTCAGCATTTTAATTATTTTCAGGGATATTTTCCTTGATGTATTTTGCTCTTCTGATTTATCTAGCGCTGAAAAAACAACACCCAACTGACTGCAGCATCAACAGAGACAGAAATGAACATACAGTGCCCTTTGGGAGATGTTACGTTGGATACGTGGCAGATAACTGCTGTGAGGAGAATAAATAACTCGGGAGGCAGAATGTTGTGGAAGCTCCTTTATTTTTTCAGCCTGTTTCAGCTTCCTTCTGCTTAGCAGAGAATGAAAACTGGTGCAGTTATTTATGGTCCGATACGTAGAGAGGTGGACAGTCGAGATCTATATGTGTATGGACAGCTGGACATATTGCTTATAACAACACCAGAAAAGCGTAATTGCTTTTGAGAAGGAGCTCAATAAGCTTATGGATGATTAAATCATGCTCTGTCTGTGCAGCATGGATTGCAAAGCTTCAATCAATGACCCTTGAGACTTCTCACTCCTCCGTAGCTCTCAAGCCACAGGGGAAGGACTGTGCCATGTCAGATTGATGATCTGCATCTGCTGCTCTGGCTTCACCTGCTCCTGATCCTTTAGAGGAAAGATAAGCAAGGAAAACCCAGCTGGATGAATGGGAATGAAGGGGGAATTCCTCCCTCATCCTTGCCGATGAGCAGCCAAAACACAGAACATCACTGCAGATGGGAGCAGTTGTACCGAATGGGAGCGCTGGTGTAAAATGTGGGGCTCACATTCCCTCATGGCATCTCAAAATGAGAACCATCAGAGGAGCTCAGTGGCATCTGGACCTAATGGGGGCCTTGTAGAGACCCTTCTTAACCTGGAAGCCTGGTAAGGACCCATCTTGACTCGGAGGCCTTCTCATGGAATCACAGAGTCATTAAGATTGGAAAAGACCACTAAGATCATCTAGTCCAACTGTGAGTCCATTGATGCTCGTAGGAACTCATCTTGACTTGAAAGGGTTGTAGGAGCTTGAAGGGAACAGACTCTTTAGCAGATTGTGTTGTGATAGGATGGGGGAAGAGGGGACATCTAGAGTGGATAAAAGGAGAAGGTTTTTACAATAAGGGCAGTGAGGCAGTGGCACAGGTTGTCCAGAGAGATGGTGAGTGCCCCATAACTGGAGACATTCAGGTCAGGCTGGATGGGGCTGTGAGCATCGACAGAGCTATGAGTGCTCCTGTTCACTGCAGGGAATGGGACCAGATGGCCTTTAAGGATCTCTTCCAACTCAAACCATTCTATGATTCTATGAACTCACTGAATCAAGCGCCTCGCAGAGCCCCATCGTGACATGGCCAGTGGGCATGGTGGGGTGGGCTGGGGTTGGACTATGTGATCACAGGGAGGTGATTGTCCCCCTCTGCTCTGCTCTTGGGAGGTCCTATCTGCAGTGCTGTGTCCAGGTCTGGAGTCCTCAGTACAAGAAAGGGAGCTGTTGGAAAGGGTCCAGAGGAGAGCCACAAAGATGAGCAGAGGGCTGGAGCACCTCCCTACAAAGGCAGGCTGAGGGAGCTGGGCTTGTTCAGCATGGAGAAGGCTGCGGGGTGACCTCAGTGCAGCCTGCAGTGCCTAAAGGGAGCCTACAAACAGGAGGGGAATCAGCTCTGTGAAAGGGTAGATAACAGCAGGACGAGGGGAAATGGTTTGAAGTTGAGGGAGGGGAGATTGAGGTCGGATGTGAGGGGGAAGTTCTTGACAGAGAGAGTGGTGAGGTGCTGGAACAGCTGCCCAGAGAGGCTGTGATGCCCCATCCATCCCTGGAGGTGTTCAAGGCCAGGCTGGATGGAGCCCTGGGCATCCTGGGCTGCTATGAAATGTGGAGGTTGGTGGCCCTGCGTGTGGCAGGGGGTTGGAGCTTCATGATCCTTGAGGTCCCTTCTGACCCTGGCCATTCTGTAATTCTGTGATCGCACCGGTCTTTTCCAACCCAAATGACGGTAATACTCCTACTGACTCCAGCTCGCTCTATGGCAGCCGTGCCGTGCAGCCACCACACCCACACGTGTGGAACCCCAACTCCCATCCCCCACGCGCGCACCACACCGCCCGCCCACTTTTTCCCGCGCTCTCCCTCAGCCGCCGCTCGGCGGCGCCCCGCCCGCTCCCGCCTCCAGCGGTGGCCGTTGGCGCATGCGCGGGGCCGCGACGAGTCCTTAGCGACGGGGCGGCGGCGCATGCGCAGAGTGGGCGCGCGCGGAGGGCGCCTGGTAGCGGGGCAGCGCGGCGGCCATGGAGCCGGGAGAGGAGGTGGAGGATGAGGAGGAGGAGGAGCAGCGGGTTCCTGTGAGTATGAACAGCGCTGAGAGGCTCGGTTAGACGGGTTTTGAAGGGGTTATCCGGCAGGGAAGGTGTGGGTGGGGGACGTGAGCCCCCACAGGCCACTGTTCTCCTTCTCTGGGTAGAGAGGGGCTGCAGCTGGCCTGGTCCCTCCCTCTCCATCCCTTCAGTGTATGTGTGTGTGTGTGACATTGGCCTGCTTGCTTTGTGCCTTCCTGGCTTTGTGCAGTGCGGATGGAGCAGCCTCTCAGAGCCCCCTGTGACCCTGAAGGGCTCTGTGTGATTTGCAGCACTGGAGATGAGGAGATTGTGGATCATAGAGTTGTAGAATAGCCTGGGTTGAAGAAGACCACAATGATCACATAGTTCCAACCCCCCTGCTATGTGCAGGGTCACCAGCCAGCAGATCAGGCTGCCCAGAGCCACATCCAGCCTGGCCTTGAATGCCTGCAGGGATGGGACATCCACAGCCTCCTTGATAGGTGGGGAAATGATTTCCAACTCAAAGAGGAGAGACGTAGACTGGGTTTGAGGAAAAATGATGCTAAAGGTGGTGAATCGCTGGCACAGGTTGCCCAGAGAGGCAGTGGGTGCCCCATCCTTGGAGGCACCAAGGTCAGGCTGGACAGGGCTCTGAGCACCTGGTGGAACTGCGGGTGCTGCTGTTTGTTGCAGAGCAGTTGGATTAGGTGGCCTTCAGGGTCCCGTCCAACTCAAAACAATTCTCTGAAACCAAAAAGCTCACTGCAAAGCTTCACCTTGGAGCTCTGAAGGATCTCTGAGGTCGCACAGTGGTTGCTGTCACACTGTCTGCAGACGTTCCCCAGGAAGAATGATGGGTTGCTACAGGATTCAGTCTTACCTGGGCAATCAATAGGAATTAAATGAATGGAAGCAGTCGGTTGAGTAAGTGTGACATGGTAAATGCAAGTCCAGCCTCAGCACATGTAAGCAGAGGGGTTCAAGTGGAGCAGTTTGGAAGCTTTTTGATGAAAAATGTTCACAGTGTGACATTAGGAAACAGAAGATCTTATGTGATTGTGTGCCCTTATGTATGTTTAAGTAGAAACGAAGTTTATCTGCACACTGATTCGCAGACATAACTTTCCTCATTAACATCACATATAACTTGTGAGAAAGTTACAGACCAGTGAGCTTGCCTCCTGCGTCTCATTTTGTCTTCTTGGTGTTCATCATAGATCAGATCATTTTGCCTCGTTTGGGGTTCTTTGTTTTGTTGTCTCATGGTAGCCATCGACTTCCTTCTCCACATTTGTTTAGCCCTGCGGTTTTGCTGCTGCTCTGACAACCAGAGCTCCGAGCTGGGAATCCCAGATGGACCTGAGCCAAGCATGCTGCCAGCACACTGCCTGCTGTGAGTGGGGGGGATGCAGTGCAGATGCCAGCTGCATCTTCTGCTTGTCCTGCTGTGGCTGCTCTTACACCTTTATTGTGTTTTTGTTGCAAGAGGCGTTTGCTATAATTTCAATCAGCAGAGAGAGGCTGGCTCTGTAAGCCCATCTTTGTCAAAGTTGTCACGCCCAGGGCTGTAGTTTTATGAGTGCCATATATCAGCAAGCTTCTACTGAAAGGACTGAGCGGTGTGTGCTACCGTGCCCTGCTTGCTTCTTCTCTGTAGGCAATAAAGCAATGCAGCTTGGTAGTAGCAGGCTGTTAACTGTGTTCAGAACTGCCTAAAGAAACATGTAGTCGACTTACATACCAAATTTTTGCTTGCTAAGGAGGAACAGAGGCTCTACTTTCCTTCTGAAGGGCCATTTTATGGTTGTTGAAAGACATTATGGAACTTCTGAAAGGTGTTGAGCTATGAAAATGAGATGGAACTCTGTAGCCAACGTAGTGCTACTACTTATTGTTTGTACAACTTCACAGTCGATGAAGACAGTTTGTTTTTAATTGTGAGGATTCTTGAAGCCTTGCCTTATTTTGAGTGGTCTGTTGGTCAGAATAAAGCAGGGAGGCTTGAGTTTCGGTGTTCAAGCATTTGATGGTGCAAAACTGAGAAACTTTCATGTTTCTTTCTTCATCAATGATGAATGTCAAACAAGAACTGTTCCTTTGGAAAGGAGAGATGATTTCCATTATGGTGTTCATATCATGTGAGGTTCCTTTGAAGAGCAGTGCTACTCATGTGCATGAAGCTGCGCTACCCAAGAATGAGAAACTACAGCTGTGAAGTGTTACGTTCACAGCATCATAGAATGGCCTGGGTTGGAAAGGACCACGATGCTCATCCAGTTCCAACCCCCTGCTATGTGCAGGGTTGCCAACCAGCAGACCAGGCTGCCCAGAGCCACATCCAGCCTTCCAACTTCCTCCTAATATCTAAAGCATTCTCATAATGCTGAGCTAAGCTGCATCTCTTGCTGATGAGCCATTTTGTCCAAGATACACATTTTGCTAATGGTCTGATGCTGATGATATATAACGCTTGGCTGTGAGATTCATCTCGGGGTCAGCTTTGGTTGGAGGCCTGCTGTTCAGCTCTCAGTGCTTCAGAGACTGCACTAAGGGATCGAGATGGACAGGGTTTGCTCACCATAGGTTATTTTAAAGAGGAGAGTAAAGAATAAGATGCACAGTTCTGTTGTGTAAGTCTTATGTTCATTGTGTGCATCTTGCTGTCATTACTCATCCATTCTTCTGTTCTCTAAAACACTCAGCTAATTACTTATGCTCAGCATAGCTAAATAAAATCAGTACCTATTTCTTTTTGGCACAGTTGGGTCCCCTACCTGATGCTATTAATTTCCATCTGAATTAATGAAATTGTCCTTTGAAATCAAATTTTCAGTATTACACCTCAATTAAATTATGGAATAGCTGCTGGAATGTTCTGAATTCAGAGCTGCTGTCGTGTGCACTTCAGTGCCACTTCTTTTAATTACTTGATTATATGAAGAAGAAAAACTAAGGGAGTGCAATGCAGTAGTGACTGAAGGTATGGGTGCAGGCTGCAATTATTGCCTTTAGCTTTGTCACAGAGCCCAAGCTAACTTCTGTGTGTGCAGAGAAACGCTTTGAGACAGTGTTGGACAGCTGCTCCCTGTGTTCTGGGTTCCTCAGTGCTTCAACACCTTGTGTGGAAGGGAAATGTGAGCACAAATATTCTTGCTGTTCCAAGTGATTTGCTTTGTTGCCCTGTACAGAAGCTGTAGGTGCAGTTGTGTAGGGCTCCCAGATGACCCATAGCTGCCTGCAGGCAGCATGTGGGATTCTGGCTGTGGTCAGCAGTGCTGGGCTGGCTGCATTCACAAGCAGCCCCCTGGGCTCAATTTTTGTGTTTTAAAGCAGCAAATGAACCTGCCCTTCTTAGCTGAGTGTCTGGACCCTGTGGAATTTCAGTCACTGGTTAGATGTGGTGGTAGATGACTATCTTACGGTACTGGAGATGTCTTGTGTATTTTCTTTTTCAATAATAGGCTATGAAATACATGTATACATACCCAGAAATTACATTTTGCTTTAGAAATGTGAGTTTTCCTTTCAGCCTATTGCAACAACTCCGCCACGCCGCACTTGGAGGGAGGAATCCTTAAGCCAAAGCAGCAGTGAGACCCAGGCCTCAGCTGCCAGCGGGATCTCCCTGGGAGAAGCAATACGTCAGAGAACGGCTGCTCATCAGGTATTTGGGTTGTGCTTCTATGAGTTGTGGCTGAAGTTTACTTATGGGATTTAAAGTAACACAGACTGCTTTATTTTGTGCAATTGGGAAGTGCTTTGCTTAGTAGTTGCCAGCTGCACGCTGCAAGCCGCCTTTACTGTGTACTGTTGGGTACTGTATCACCCAGCATCTTCCTGAAGCATTTGTCTTCATCAGGGCTGTTCTTTCTGAGTGAGAAATTTCACAAAGATGATCAGAGAGGCTGCAGCACCTCCCTACAAAGACAGGCTGAGGGAGCTGGGCTTCTTCAGCCTGGAGAGAGAAGGCTGCAGGGTGACCTCATTGCAGCCTGCAGTGCCTAAAGGGAGCCTACAGACAGTCAACTCTTTGAAAGGGTGGATAACAGCAGGATGAGGGGAAGTGAGAGAGGGAAGGATTGAGGTTGGATGTGAGGGGGAAGTTCTTGAGAGAGAGAGTGGTGAGGTGCTGGAACAGCTGCCCAGAGAGGCTGTGATGCCCCGTCCATCCCTGGAGGTGTTCAAGGCCAGGTTGGATGGGGCCCTGGGCAGCCTGGGCTGCTATGAAATGTGGAGGTTGGTGGCCCTGCGTGTGGCAGGGGGTTGGAGCTTGGTGATCCTTGAGATCCCTTCCAACCCAAGCCATTCTATGATTTTGGTTTGGAAAAATTTTCTGCTTTTGTCAGATTTGGAGAGAGAGCTCAGTTTCTGACAGGAGATGGAAGGCTGGTGATCAGTAGGTGGTAAGAACTGACAACAGACTTCAGCAGTTCATGACTGCATTGTACTTCTTTTACATCTAAAAACTGAGTATTTGCATAGACAGTATAACTTAGAAGCAACAGTTTTGCTATTCTACAGCATAAGTTTTATTTCCTTGGAAGTGCATCTGATAAAATTTTCTTCTTGATCCTCGTGCACGCTTTATCTCTCTGCCTGTTCTTAGGAAATTGACTCATGGTATCAGCTTCCAGCAGAGGTGGATGCCAGCCATTTAACTGCTGCCTCAGAGACAAAGCTTGGCCTGGCTTCTGATAGGAATGACCTGACTGAGTTCCCTACCCTGGAGGAAGGAGTGTTGCCTTCAGCAGAAACATCGAGAAGGCAGCATCCTGAAGATACAGTGCATGGCTTGCTGCTGGGTATGTTCAACATGGCACTTCCTTCTTGACTTTCAATTTAAATCTGCTGGATGATTAGGATTTTACTCTTCTTTAAAAGCAGTCTTCAGCCCGGATTTGTCGTCTCATTTTGAGAACTGCTGTTGACAAAATACATTCTCTTTAACATTGTTGTCAAATCACATCTTCAGAATGAGATTGTTTGTACCCCTTTCTCATGAATTCAGGCTACTCTACGCTCCTTTCTGCAAGATGTGTTCAGATAAGTGGTAGTTCAGCAGCCACACACTTCTATAATGGTACTTGATATTCTGTTAGTGGTCCTAATGACTAACACTAGAGTTTGGGTACAATTTATATTATTGTCAGAAACACTTTCTAATTCTAACTGGGAAAGATAAGCCTTTCTGTGGCTTCCCTTCACATCTAATCACTGTGATGTAGTTGAAGATTGATCTGAAAGTTCTCATCCATTCTGGATTATGTTTCATTTTCATCCATGTGGAGACAGAACATTCCATTTAATTCTATTTCTATGATGTATAATCCTCATGTACTAGCAAATCTTATGAGACTTCTGTTAGTATCACAGCATTATTCTCTGCATCTTAAGACACCAAGAATGACACAACCCTACTGATTTATTATAGTAATTTGGAATTATCCTCAAAATGGTGGAAATGAGACGATTTTTTTTTTCCCCCTTCATTGCAATTAATCATAGCAAGTGCATCTGTCCCCAGCAAGAGATACTAATTAATTGTGGAAGTGGAGCCAATTTTGATTGGATCTATTTTTCTTTATTGCCTTTATTTATTAATTTTTAGTTTTTTTTTAAATCTTCAACCTTAAGCTCTGGCAATTGATTTATTAAGGGAGAGAAGTGACTGGAGAGCAGCTCAGCAGAAAGGGACCTGGGGGTGGTGGTGACAGCAGCGTTCCTGGCAGCCAAGAGGATAAACCATGTTTTGGGGTTAAACTGCATTTAAACAGCACAGCATGTGGATGCCCCATCCCTGCAGGCATTCAAGGCCAGGCTGGATGTGGCTCTGGGCAGCCTGGGCTGCTGGTTGGTGACCCTGCACACAGCAGGGGGTTGGAACTGGGTGAGCACTGTGCTCCTTTGCAACCCAGGCCATTTTAGGATTCTGTGATGGCATTTCTGTTTCCTTGCATCCAAGTTACCATATTAAGACTTCACCCACCCGTCCCTCAGCCACGCTCCTTGTCCATTGGGTGCAATACAGCTATTGCATGTAGGCCTAAAGTTGTGCTATAAATGTTAGTTCTTTTCTTTCCTGACACCCCATCAAGGCTCCTTTTATGCACCTACTTGCATTTACTTCTTGAAAACTCACTTCTGAAGGATGCTGTTACAAAATCTCAAGTGTTTCTTTTTGTATTGATTTTCCTTAGAGGTTCACTGCAAGATCAAGTGTTACCATTATGGTATTTTTGTGACTCACTTTTCCAGGATGTAACTGACATTGCTGAATAGAGCTGTCTCTAAGGCTGGTTTCACTGCGCCACTGGGCCATTCTTTTCAGGAACAAACAAAATAATTACAGGCAAATAGCATGATTGCTTGTGATATTTTAAAATAAGCCTCTGTTTCTTCCAGTTAACTGCAAGTTCAGCTTGCAGTTTGCTGTTCCTCTACCTGCTTGTTCTCATGCTGCTCTTTGTTCTGAAGCTGCTTAAGGGGATGAGTTTGGAGTTGCCTTGGGGGTATAACCTGCTAGGTATTCATGGCTCCTACAGGCCTTATGGGTTCAGTGGTGAATATCACTGTGCTGTAATGCTAATCTGTTCCTTTTTCAGGAAGTGTTTTGAATCCCCTTTTGGTGGTAGCAAGAAAAAATAAGAATGACAGTTGTGTTGAAATAGTTCCTGCTGCATCGTGGAACAGATTGACAAAGCCAAGAAGGTTTTGTTTTTGTTTTGCCTTCTTTTTTTTTTTAATCTTCCACAAATGGCAATTTGACTCTGGCATTCAGGATTGTCAGCAGGCTGTAAGATAAAATAGCATGCCCAGCTTTGCTTGTTCAGTGAATTCAACTGTGAGGAAGCTTTTGACCTTCAGAGCGACAGCAGGAAGAATTACTGTTTTGACACAAGATCCTCAAAGAGTGTCGTACTGACGTCACTTGCTGCTTTAAGCATCAAGCACCTGCTTCTCTGCCTGCAAAACCTGGGTTATGGCTGAATGTAATGAGCCCCTCCATCATCGTAAGCATCCAAAATATGATAGCAGTGATCTTTTTCCCTCTAGAAGAAAGAAAGTTACTGAAAGCATTAGACTTTGTGTGCTGTAAGATCGGAGAAGGTTAAAATAAAAAACCATGCAAGGTAAAACATTTGACGTGGGTGGAGTTGCATGGCATGAAATGTCACTTTTGTAGCCCTGTTAAATGTCAGCTGTTGTGTTGATGAGGGTGGTTGTGCAGGGGACAGGCTGGAGGAGAGGATTTCCACCAAGGATGTGACTGCAGTGAATCTCAATGACTCCCTTTTCCTCCTTTTCTCTGTTCCCTTTTTCTTCCCTCTTCTTGCTTGGCCTTATCAGTCAGCTGCTGCTTCAAGTCACTGCTCACCACTGCTCCTGTGATGGGAAAGCTCTGGGGAAGGTATTGTCTGACAACCTAAGGCACATCCCTGCTACAGGGCAAAGCCAGAGCCCTCTTTGAATCAGGGAAGCAAGACTGAAGTGGAGGCTAGGCTGGGGGTGCAGTTTTGGCTATATTTAGTCAGCTGAAGGCTGCTTCTGAAAAGGAAGAGCCTGGATTTGCGTCGTTTGTTCCTGCTGCATCCTGTAGCTGTGTGAATCAGTGCAATCAGATCAGTTTGCTGTTGGGACTGAAATGTGGCCATCTCCATTTCTAACTAACATTACGTTTTGTTTGGCTTGAAGTACTGCTGTCTGTTCAAGGGAGGGAGAAAGAAAAAGAGTGAGGGAGCACATCCTTGGGCTGGTGTGGAGTGACTGGGGCTTTCTCTTGCCGTAGTGCAGTTCTGATGCTTCAGGTGCTGTTGGAGAACTTTGGGGCTCCTGTTCAGGAGTTCTGAAGGAAGCTGAAGAGGGAAGGAAGAGAGAATTGAAGCAAAACTTGTGCTGTTGAATATAAATGCTGAATCTATGAATGTTCTATCTGAACTGCCTTGCATGTCCTGTAGAGAGCCAGCAATGTAGGAACATGTTGATGCATTCAGGAGTATCTTATTTGTCATCTGAGGTTTGCATAGCTTCAGGGTTTTATGTTGGGCTGCTGTTATACGTTGTCTGAAATGCTCCTAACTACCACAGTTCTGGTCTTCTGTACATACAAGATGTGATTAGGTTGCCCTCCTTCAATACACTGAACAGGTCTAGCAGGCACCTGTGATGACAACTGGGCCTCAGTTATAGGAAGATTTCTATGATTTGCCATGCTGTGCTGCCAGGTGACCCAGAGTGCCCAGCATCAGCGATGCAAGCTGCTCATTGCTTGGCAGACATCTGCTTCATCCATGTGCCTGCTTTGTAAGAACACAGAGGTGTCTGGAGGCCAGTTCAATGGTTGCAAACAGGACAGGGCCAAGAATGGCTGCTGAGGGGACAAGATGCACAATAAAAAAACAACAATATGAAGACATTTAGCCCTGCAGAGAAGGACCTGGGGTGTCCTGAGGGATGAAAAACTGAATGTGAGCCAGCAGTGTGCTCTTGCAGCTTGGAAAGCAAATGGGATCCTGGGCTCCATCAGAAAAGGGGTGGCCAGCAGGGACAGGGAGGTGATTGTCCCCTTCTACTCTGCTCTTGGGAGGCCCCATCTGCAGCAGTGTGTCCAGGTCTGGAGCCCCCAGTACAAGAAAGACAGGGGACTGTTGGAGAGGGTCCAGAGGAGCCACGAAGATGAGCAGAGGGCTGGAGCACCTCCCCTGTGAAGACAGGCTGAGGGAGCTGGGCTTGTTCAGCATGGAGATGAGAAGGCTGCGGGGTGACCTCATTGCAGCCTGCAGTGCCTAAAGGGAGCCTACAGACAGGAGGGGAGTCAGCTCTGTGGAAGGGCAGATAACAGCAGGACAAGGGGAAATGGTTTGAAGTTGAGGGAGGGCAGATTGAGGTTGGATGTCAGGGGGAAGTTCTTGACAGAGAGAGTGGTGAGGTGCTGGAACAGCTGCCCAGAGAGGCTGTGATGCCCCATCCATCCCTGGAGGTGTTCAAGGCCAGGCTGGATGGAGCCCTGGGCATCCTGGGCTGCTATGAAATGTGGAGGTTGGTGGCCCTGCCTGTGGCAGGGTTGGAGCTTCATGATCCTTGAGGTCTTTCCAGCCCAAGCCACTCTATGATTCTGTGATGCACACCTGTGTAGTGAGAATTTCCTGTATGTCACTGTGTGGAGAACGCTGATCATTTTTCATCACTTTGAGTTCTAGGTTGCATTTCTTAGCGCAAATACTGAGCAATACTTACATTTGATCAAGTATATCCTCAAAGCATGGATTTATCAGCCAAATGTTGTGACTTTGTGTGTGTACATACACATGTGTTTTATCAGAACGTGTAGATGCATTAAAAATTGTTTGGCAGGATCTGTTTTTGACAGCAGTTGACACTTTGTTTTCCCAATTACTTTTCAGTTCCCTCCCTCGTAGTCTTTTTGTCTCTTCATTTACCAAGGCAGCACTCCCAGGCTGCATGGTGCTTTCTCTTTAATCACTGCTGATTCTCAGTTTAGCTTGAAAACACTTTTTCATTCAAAGTGAAGAAGTTAAGCTGAAAATGGAGAAAAGCTGCTTCTATTGTGTGAGTAAAGTAAGTTGCCAGTTCTGAGAAGGTGAGGTCTATCGTGATGTGCGATGACAAGTCCAATTCAATAACTGCAATTACTATTTCCTTTGTTCAGTAATATCATTTTAAATGCAAAACCAGATTTGGGAGGAAAGAAGTGCATGTAATACAGCTAAGGGAGTTTGGCTTCCAACTTGCTTAACATTTCTTGAAATAAATGCTACGGTTTGCCTGTTGTTTCAGTATTTTCAAGTATAATAAAAATGAAAAATAATGACTTGAATAAATATATAGTGAACAGAACAAATGTTTGATTAAATAACACTGTAAACTTTGTCTGTTCCCAGTTAGTGTTTGGGAATGAGAAATCTACTGTGCTGAATGTATTTGATTCTAAGCCAGTATCAACCACTGAAAGCAAGCCTCTGTTTTCTCTAAGCCTGAAATGTTACAAATGACAGTGGATTAAATCAATCTCCTGTTCCTTGGTTTTTAAATCATGATTCAAACCATGAAATCACAAGTACAGATCAGTGCTGTAAATGTGGCCACGCTCCTGATAGCAGCCTGACGCTGCTGTAAATGAGACATCCCTGACCTTGCTCCCTTTTGCCCTTGGATCCTGCTTCTCCTACGCTGCTGCTGTCAGTGTTTTCTTCTCCTCTTTTTGTTCTTTCTTTCTAACTACTTTTTGTACCATTTCCATGCATGCTGTAATTTTTTCACCCTGTTTTGCACTGATGCTTACCAGTCTACATCAGAGCCTCTTCTGAACGCTTTCTTTTACCAAGTTGCTCAGAAGCAGTGCTACTTTTTAATTATTGTTACCACTGTGTTCCTCAAAACTTCTGAAAAAGCAGACAGCCTATCTTACTTTTCCTATCTGTTTGGTATTGCAAATATTTAAGACGAAAGTGCAGTGGAGTGGTGAGTAATGCAGTGCATTTACCTAACGAAGCAGTGGGGAGAGTTGAGCTTTGGAGAGGTACTGGATGCTGGGAAAACAGATTCCCTGCTTGAGTTGCTGCAGCATGCTTGTGCCATCTGTACTATAGATGCTAAGGTTTAAGTTTGGCTTCCTTTAGGAGACATTAGGCCTGCCATGTGGTGCAGCCAGCTGCTGAGGTAGAAGGGAGTCTTTGAAACTGTGTAGCATCTATTATTATTCTGTCTGCTGATGGGATGGGAAGTAGGGCATTGCTGGGCGATGTAGAATTATTTCTGCTCTGTTAGTTGTGCTCTTGCTATGTAATATTCTAAAGTAATTAAAGACGTTAATTGGAAGTATTAAATTACAAGTGAATCAGAAAGGTCATCTTGTGGTTGGATAACACTCATCAGGTGATGTAATACACTGTGTGGAAAGCCTCAGGGTAAAGCTGACGTATGGTTGAAGTTGATTCTTTGTGTGTAATGGCTCTTATCTGATGTGATTATGCTTCTGTCAGTGATGCAGAGTATAGTTTGTTTGTGATGCTTGAGAACTGAAGAACCTAATTGAAATCAGTGAGAACTCTGATGCTGAAATTGAGACTCTTGATGACAAGTTGCTTTTTAGCTTAAAAGCGTGTGTTTGCTTACAGCAGTATTGTAAGTAACTGTGTAGTCATTTCTGTCTGTCAGATGCAAGTTTGTAGTTGGTTTTCTTTTTGTGGTATAAAGCATTTCCCTTTGTTTTTGTAAGCATGGAATTAGAAAGGTTAGATGTGCCAGGTAGCTCAAAGAAAATCAATAGAAACTCAACAATAGAAACTCAAACTTCCTCCTACGGTAGTAAACAGTGGTAATAATATCATGGTGGTGACTAAATGTTGCTATTACTTGCATCTTTAAACTCGAAGGGAAACTGTACAGCCTTTGCTGTAGTCAAAACTTACGGTGACTGGAGAAGACAGCAGTGTTTTATTGTTGCAATGAATGGTGATCTGGGTGGAAGCCCTGCAGATGTCCTCCAAGTATGCATGGAAATCACTAGGGGAGGTGCTGACTGATGACTGGAAAAGGACACAGGTGGGCACAAAGATAAATCGAAGGATAAGAGGGTAAGTTAGGGATGTCAGTGTCAAGCAGTGCTTTGAGATTGGTGAGAAGGAACCTGAGCTGTGTAGGTAAGACACCTGAATTTAGCACATAAGGAAATAATGCTTCAGTAGAGTGATTGGTGGGGTTACGTCCGTTTGTGTGGTTGGCATCCATCTGGGTTTGAAAGCTGTGTTAGTTGCCATGTCAGTTTAAAGAGGGATTGCCTTACAAACTTTTATTACTGTGGTGGTGTTATTTTTAACAGGTATGCAGGACAGTCAGTTCTCTCCCTGTCTTCCATTGCTGATGTATTCAACACCAGGCCAAAGGATTTTGGATGAGACGCTTTTCCAGCAATCAGAAAGGGATTTCATTCATTTAAGGTAGGATCAAGTTACCTGGTGCCATGGCAGAATACAGCATTTTTTTTCCTGGCTGGCCATAACTTGTCCTTCCTTTCATAATTACCATTTTACAGTCACAGAAATAGGACAAAATGGTTTCTTTTTTATTTTCCTTTTAGTAGAGAGAAGCCTTTGTTAGAGTTCTTTGCTTTATTTTGCCTACAGAAGAGTTTGAACAAGAGGAAACCTGAACAGACCTCGTGAACTCTTCATTCCAGTGTACCTGAAAAAAAATGAGCAAATGAAGAACTCTGCCCTCCCTGACATCTCTTTAGATTCTGAAATAAAATGTATTGAATTCTGGGGATAAAAATCTGATCCAACTTGTATTTCAAATAATAATGAGTGCATTTACAGGCATGCATGTACTTTATACCTTCTGCCTGGAAGTATTTAAGGCCAGGCTGGCTGGGACTTTGAGCAAGCTCATCTAATGGGAGGTGTCTCTGCCTGTGCCAAAGGGGTTGGATCTAGGTGATTTATTCTATATGTGCTTTGTGTGTATTAATGTGTGATTTAAAAACTTCATTTGTTTAATGAAAAGTACAAATTACTGCACTAGCAATTTCCATGAAGTCCTTCTCAAAGCCTTCATATGAACGCGTGGCAAATGACTCTCATGTGAAGAAGGCAAGAAATCTTTACCCTCTTATTGAAGAGGGAAAAAGTCTGTGTATAAACATACATATCACAATGTCACAGAATCATTAAGGCTGGAAAAGATCTCTGAGACCACCTAGTCCAACTGTTCACCTACCAACAGTGTTGCCCAATGAACTGGTTGCCTGACAGTGTTCCTTAGTACATATCACATACAATATATATGTTTTTGTATGCTTTTGGAAGTATGTGAGCAACTTTTCTATTTTCTTTGGACTTTGTCTGTTTTGCAGTTATTTAACTAATATGCATTTTAATTTGTGACATACAAACAAGCAAAATCCTCCAGTTTTAAACTGACTAGAAAGAATGATGTACTAAGTTGAAACTAATTTCATTTTCTGATTTTTATGTTGCAGTCAGTAGAGCTCTCTGATATTATTGGGACTCTCCCCTTTATAGAGGTTGCATTTATGTGCATGTTACTAAACCCTAATTGGATTAAGTCCTCTTTTAGCCTCTTACACTAAAGCAGAAAATACAGCTGTTGAAATGGAAAAACGTCACCAGAAATGTTCTTACTGTGCCCCTTTCTTGTAGAGGAGTTCCTGATGTTTCTGGTGCTTCCGAGCAGCGTTCAAATCCTTTGCACATCCCAGAAGCTGCCTGGCTGACAGATGTTGAAACGCCCTCTGATGCTCCCAGTGACTGCTGCTCCTTGTCCCAGCATCCCCTTTCATTCCAGCAGGCAGAACCTAGTGATGCCAACTATTTGTCTCAGCAAACCTCTCGTTCTTCTGAACCACTTATGAACAAGGAGGCGAGTGAAGACTGCAAAAATGATGTTAATGAGAGGGCATCGATCCCCAGGATGGGTGACAAAGCAGTGAACCAAATGGAAGCTTCACTTGTAAAGCAGACCTGTGGTACTTCTACAGAAGGTGACTTTTTCACTTGTGACAACAATGTGCTGGCTCCAGTTTTTGAGCTTTCAGGGAAAGAAAAAGAGTTACTGAGGCGTGATGAGTTCTCATCTTCTGAAAGCTCCTCTTGTAAAACAGCTTTGACAAAGAATTCAGGAAAAGGTGAAAGAGAGATGCAAATGGAAAAGGTAAAAATGGCTGAGAGTGAGTCAGAAGGGTGCCTGAGACATCCAGAGAGGCTGGAAAAAGTTCCTGAGCTTGGTTCTTCTCAGATGTTATCTGATGATTTGAAGAAAGACAGTGGTAAAAGTTCAGGTACACAGGATGTGTTTTCTGCAAAGACTTCAGAAATTGCTGGAGAGTCCAGGGGGCGCCGAGTGGATTTGAGTGACTTTGGAAGCATGAAGTTTGTAGCTGTTCCTAATGAAGTCCAGGGAGCTTTCCTGGATCGTGAGGAGAAGCAAGGTTTGAGAGAGGAGGAGTTGAGCCCCATTGTGCCAAGCACCAGTGATAGTGCCCCCAAACAACCAGTCGTGACCAACATGGAATCTCCTCCTTCCTGCAGTGAGAATGCCCATGTGGAAGTGGAGCCTGGAGTTCACAAGGCTGAATTAACTATTTCAGATGTTTCCATAGAAAGGGGACATAAAGTTACAGACATTTCCCCTTCGCTTAATTGCATTGTAGATGATGGCTCGTTCTTTAGACACTTCTCCCATCCAAGCTATCAGTCTACTCCAGGGATACTGTTCAACAAAAATGTCAGGGCAGAAGTGGGTGCTCGTGTGATCAAATCAGATGTTCAAGCCTCTCCTTTATGCCTAAACGAAGACAATTCTGGGAAGTCATCTACCAGTACACCTACATCTGTTGAGAAGCAACGTTCTCTCCAGTGTGCCCAAAAAGAAAACAACAAGCACTTGGACTCCTTAAAACTGAGATATCCTCACACTGGAAGAATTCAGTCGCTCCCATCCCTTAATTTCATGGAGAAGGTGGGCACTTGGAATCTGAGCCAGCCAGAGAATATGCCTGATGTGCTGGCTTTAAGTGACCAGGGTGGAGTTTCACATAGAAAGAAAGCCTACAGTGCAATTGCCAGTTCTGCAAACAATATTTTGTCAATGCAAAATAGCAGCAGAAACCCTGAAGATTATATTGCTGCTCCTTCTGGAGGGACACATTCCCTGGAAAATATTCATTTTCATGATAAAATCTCAGAGCCTGTCCTCCCTCTTCCTAGGTCTCAGTCTGACAACTCAGTAAATGTTGCAAGTAGGAACAACTCCCAGACTGATGTTGTTCAACCAGTTAATACAGAAGCAGTGCAGCCTCTAGAAGAAAAAAGTAATGTTTCAGGAGTGCCTGAAAACAAATTAGGAGGCTCCTTGGTACACCAGCTTACAGCTGAGATTGCTTCTGGGTCTGTTGATAAAGGTAGCAGTGTGGAGCAAACTTCATATCCGGATGCTTTCATTTCCAGTGAAAGAGTTGCTCTCCTCATCAAAGAGGATGGAAACTCTCCAACTGGTGACCAGGAAAAATGTGATGGTCTTGAAAATCCAAAACTGCCTCGTAACTTAGATGTTGGTCACGTCGGCGTGGACAACTGTGGTGATATTTCCCCAGACAGTCTGAATCTTCCTGCTCGTTCTGGGGAAAGCAGCCACGGGGCCTCAGGCTCCCCAGGGTGTTCTTCAGTGGTTTCCAAGCCCTTCTTCACCAGTGCAGAAGATGACAACTTTATCTCTGTCGGAGCGACCGCTGTTCTGGAGACTCCAGAGAAAGGAGAGCTTAATATTGAAGAAAGGATCCCTGTAAGTTAATATCTGAGAAGAACTTGTAAGTCCTATTTATCTTTTGATTAAGAAGAGATCTGAATACACTCAGCTGCCTTAGAGTAAATGGGACAGTAGGTAATCCTGGTGCTGCAGGATGGGTTGTCTGAGTTGAGGCTGTTACTTGTATATCTAGTTTCTGATGCTCAGTCGTGTAGGGAGCCTGTAAAGCAATAGTCAGTCTTTCAAAAATACCAGTTGACACCTTTTATGAATGCCTAATAAATCTTCAAGGATCCTTTTTCAAATTCTAATTTTTTTTTTTTAGTGTCAGAGTCATCTCAGTGTTTTTCCCACTGTTCTTTTATGGTCTACATCACTAAATTAAATGGGTTTTGTACTGGTTTGCATTACTGGTGAACCTCACCCGTGATTGTAGTTCAGTTGAACAAAATAACTTTCAGGTGACATTGAATATAGGAGAAGAAAGGGCAGGCATAGGAAAGAGGATACGTGTGTGTATGTATGTACTTTTTCCTCAAGGTATAAATGATGGTATCATAGTAACAAGATGCAAAAACATATAGATGGGTGGCTAATGGTGGTGGCAAATAAAAGAACCAAGAAAAGAACAGGGCACAACATTAGTGGAAGGTGAAATCTGCTTGATACAAAGACTTGTAAGTAAGATGCTTACAGCTCTTTTAGCAGAGCATTGATCAGCCTTTTCTAATCTTCCAGCTTCTTTCATATGATCAGGATATAATTATCCAAACACGAAGCTGAGACTCAAATGCTGACTAAGGAAATGTTAGGCTGCACAAGAGGGAGCTGAACTTCACACGCCCACAGATCTGCAATAATAGCAAAAGCAACACGGAGCTCGTTGGCAAATTAAATTGCCTTTTTCCTATAAATACTCTTGCTTGTTCACTTTGTTCCAGTACCTAAGACATAAATTCCTGATTCTTTCATGCTGCTCTTGAAGGGTATTCAAAGCTTCTGCGTGCCTTTTCTCCGTTCTATCCTATGTGCCTGATGCAGATTTCCTTTTCCCTTTCCCCTTTTGAGGATATTTGGTGAGAACGGAGGGCAGATTGTGGCAGCCATGTTAACTTCTAATAGCTGTTGAATGTTGGAGAAAATCAAATGCAGATTTATATTAATGATAAACATGTAATTATCTTCTGAGTAAGTGGCTGCTCCTCTCAGAAGATGACTCCTGTAATCATTAGGTCTTTGGAACTGTGTTGTAGAAGCACTCTTCTCTGAGTTGTCTCAGAAAACATGCATTGAAATAACTACAAATATTGTGATAAGGATATTTGAAGTAGTATTGATGAAATATAATGATTATCTGTTACCTCCATTTTTTATGAATATAATGAGGCATGTTCTCCAGCCCTAATTGTGAGGAATTCTGTTCTCATAAACCACTGACAAAGTAAAAGAGATTAGGTCACATATTAAAACACACATATTATGTGTGTTTAGTTTAAAAAGAAAAAATCATAGGAAATAGTTGGTGGAGATCTATAGTCTGCTGTATTGAGATTAGAAGTACAAGTGCTGGCTGCCTTTCAAGAGCCACCTTTGAAAAGCCCAGGAGCCTGCAGTTCCACTCCACTGCAAGTCAAGCCAATGGGGCAGAAAGAAGGTCTGGCTGAACAGGGAATTCCTGTTGGAGCTGCAGCAGGAGAAGAAATTACTTGAGGGCAAGGTCAGGCTTCACGGGGAGGGCACAGAGCTGCAGCATCTGCAGGGAGGAAACAAGAAAAGCCAAAGCCCAGATTGACTCCCCACTGGTCAAAGTGGTGTCAGACAACAATGCAAAAACACTTGTGAAAGTATGTAATGGCAAGAGAAGGTCTAAGAGAAACATCTGATTGAGGATGTTCTCCTGAGGAGTAAGAATGAGGAAGAGGTGGAGGCATTTAATGTTGTCTTGGCCTCCGTTTTTGGTAGTAAAGGTAGATTTTTTTGGACTGCTCTGACTTCTGAGTTGAAGGACTGTGTGTGGGGCAGTAGGGATTTTCCAGTCGTGGTCGGTGAAATTGTGAAGGAATGGCTGTGTCAGCTGGATGATGGTAAACCTGAGGGCCTGATGGGATTCACCCCAAAGGTCTGAGGGACTTAGGGAATGATGGACCCCCTCAACAATTTACCAAAGGTCTTGAGAGTCTGTTGGGGGTCCCCACTGACTGGAGGCTGGCCAACGTTACACCCATCTACAACAAGAACGTGAGAGAAGGCCCAGGAAACTGCAGACCTCTTAGTGTAACCTCTGCCTGGAAAAGTTATGGAGAAGATTGTCCTGGGGGTATAGAAAGGCATTTAAAGAACAAAGCTATTATCAGGTGTAGTCAGCATGGGTTTGTGAGGGGAAGGTCCTGCCTTGGTGATTTGTTCTTCCATGAAAAGGTTGCTTGCTTGGTGGGTGAAAGAAGAGAGTGCATGTAATCTGTCTGGATCTAAGTAAGGCCTTTGATGCTGACCCTCACAGTGTCCTGAACAAATTGTCCAGCTGTGAGATGAAGAGGTTCGTGCAATACTTGGTGATGAGCTGACTGAATGGCAGAGGTCAAAGTCTTACAGGGAATGAGGCTACATCTGGCTAGTGGTGTTCCCAAGGAACTCAATTCTAGGGCCAATGCCATTCAGTGCTTTTATCAGTGATCCTGGATGCTGGAGTAAAGTGCATCCTCAGCAAGTTGCCTGCCAGTACTAAACTGAGAGGTGCTTTTGACTCCCTAGAGGGGAAGAGGCATTGCAGAGGGATCTGGTTTGTTGATGGTTGTTCCATGCTCTAACGTGAAATTCAGTGAGGGCAAATAGTATGTGATGCACATGGGAAGGAGCAGTGCTGGATACAGACACTGGGAAATGAGAGGCTGCAGTGCTGGACCTGGGAGGGGAAGTGAAGGAAGGTGCCAGTCACTCTGGGTACCAATGGCAGGACGTGGGAATAGCACAAGCAGCACTGAGATTATCGAGGTCTGTACTTGATACTAAGAAATATTTCTTAAGGTGAGGGTGGTCAAACACTGGAATGAGCTTTCTGGAAAGGTGAGTGGTGCCTGATTTCTGCTTTTGGTTTTCTGGAAGCAGTCAGGCAGTTGAACTCAGTCTTTGAAGATCCCTTCCAACCAAACTATTCTGAGGATGGGAAAAACTTGTGCAGCTTCAGAAGTGATTGATGTTCTTAAGAACGCAATGTGTTTCCTTTTGCCAGATCTACCTTCGCAACCTTGGCATCGACCAGTCGCCTGGGACCATACTGACTCCTTTTGTACCCCGAGGACCAATGAGGGAAGTTGAATTTTCCCCTTCAGACCTCAGGACACTGAAGGGCTCCACTGACACGCTGACAAGGACCATTCAGCAGCCACGAGGTATGGGGAAGGAAGGCCTTGTGATGTGCAAATCTTAGTCAGCACATAGCTCTGAGATTGTTCTTGGCCTGGCAGTGTCAAGTCTGTTTCTTCTCCTATGATTTGATATGCACTCCTTTTCCTTTCACTCAGAGGGTGCTGAGGCACTGGAACAGGTTGCCCAAGGAGGCTGTGGATGCCCCATCCCTGCAGGCATTCAAGGCCAGGCTGGATTTGGCTCTGGTCTGCTGGTTGGTGACCCTGCACATAGCAGGGGTTGGAACTGAATGAGCACTGTGGTCTTTTTCAACCCAGGCCATTCTGTGATGCTCCAGTTTCATTCACATTATTTGATCTTCAGCCAGCAGAGGTGTGAGATTTTTGGCATTTGGAAAAATAAGGATTGAAACCTTTGGAAACGTGCTTTTTTGCTAAGAAATTCGGTGTTTGTGACATCTTCTAGCCAGAGCAGTGGCAGTTTACATTTATTATTTTTTTTCCTCAAGAATTCTTATAAAGCAAATGCTTAGCAAAGATTGTGTGACCAGACCTTTTGTTCCTGTGAGAGCAATGAGTCTTGATTTCTCTTTGTTCTTGAGACTTCCTGGGCTCGCTCAGTGTGACAGGAAGTTATAGACACTAGAACTGATCAGTCCATCTCAACATCAAAGAAGTATATGGATACAACCTGAAGTGTTGACTTGTTTCTATATGAAGAAAAGCTAAGGTTAAGATGTTCTTCTGTAGCATGCCCACACAGTATGTCATTAAAATGTGTATTGCAAGTACTTAAAATGTCCTTGGCATATTGTTTGGCATTTGCCCCTTCAATTCACTGGGGAATAAAAGATCTGCAGCCTCTTTACAACAAAAGCCTGTCTTTAAACAGACTTTCCAAATACCCTGTGCTGACCCATCTTTCTGATCAGCAGTGATTAAATGCATCTTTCTTAAGGCTGTTGGGCTTGCTTATTTTCTGTTACTATTTCCTCCTTTAAGCAGAGATTTGGTGACTGAAACAACCTGACAATAGGTTCAGGGGCAGAGTGTCTGGGTGACTTAATGTCCTTGAAGATGTCAGTGACTGGGACGTGAAACAAAGTAGTGCTTAAAACGAGCAAAATAGCAGGCAGCTGTTGGCAGCTGGCTGTTCACTGTACTGTTAAGAACACTGCACTTAAGTTCATTTCTAGAGCAATTAGGTATTACATATCCGAATGTTAAATGTTCATCCTGTCTGCTTCTTTTTAACCAGCTGTAATAAACAAATCTACCTGTACTATGTAGCATTTTGGAAATGCTGTCCCACATTGCTTTTTATATCTTGCAGAGATTCTTTTATAATCCAAGTGTTCATTTAGACATGAGGACATCATGATGTCCCTTAGCTAAGAACATTTATAATATATGGTCACCATTTATTTAAAAGCAAGTTACTGAACTCCAGTTCTGTTGTCTCTTTGATTTTATTGTGGTCCAACAGCTTGCTTTCAGTAGACTGATCTCATGGAAGTGTTGTCCCAATATCTGTAATTCTTCCTTCCCTCTACAAGCCCTTTAGTACAAGAAAAAGGAGTCTTTACTGATGTGCCTGTATCCCAGAGCTTCCAACTTAAAACAATCTTCTGTTTCTTTGTAGGCGAGTTGCTGGCAGCGGTTGATGTTACACAGACGAGTTTCAACTCTGGCACTTCCACTGTCAGCATTTCAATTCCAATGGATTCGGAAACTGGTTCTGATACTTTCTCACCCAGAGAACTCTCTCCTCGCTTCTCGTTACCTTTTGGAGAAAAGCCCGTGAGTCAGTGCACTGTGTCGTGCCACAGAGTAGAGGTAACTGCTCCTCGTTCCATGCAAGTGGAGACAGAATGTTCAGCTGTCTCCAAACTAGCTGAGCCAAGCCAGCACCTGCAGACTGTTTCACTTGATTGCCATTCTAACAGAGAGAGCCCTGTGCTTGTTGCAAAAAGTGTTCAGGATCTGCTAGCTAAAAAGGAATCGAAAGATGTGAATGGAAGCTCACAGAGATGGACTGTCAGTTCTTTGGCTGGAGTTAAAGATGAAAAGGAGAGAGGATCACAAACCTCAAGTGCAGGGAGTGAGAAAAATGAGGGTCAAGAAAGTGATTCTGTGATTGGATCTCGTGCATTGCAAGAAATACGTAAACTTCTGGCAGAGGCAGAGAGCATAGCTGGCAGCTGGCCTGACCCTGTCTTTTCCAATGCATCTTCTAGAGAAACTGAGTCTTCCCCAGTGCAGATTGAAAAGGAGGATGGCACCAAGGATTCTGACTTAGTGAAAGACAGCGTCCCTCAGTTTCAGAAGGTCGTGTCATGGGCTGAGAGTATGAAGCAAAGCAGTATCCAAGAGGGATCTATACCAGAGCCTCTGGATTCTTGCAAAGATGATTTAAAATGGGAATGTTCTTTTGATGCCAGTTTGTGCAGTTGTGAAGGTGTGGTGGAGATGACCGGAGAGTTCAGGACAGGAAAATCTGTAGGAAGGTCTGAGCCAGAAGGCTGTAGCAGTGTAACTACAGACAGAAACCAACCTGCTGTTGTGGCTGTTGCACGAAGCAATGCAAATAGTGAGCTCAGCACTGAAAGACCTTCAGAGTTGGAGAATCCCTCTCCATCAGAGCCTCGAGGAAGTGTCATCAATGTGCCAGGAAGCTTCCAGAACGAGTTATCTAAAGCTGATGTTGCTGTAAGCACGGCAGGAGGCATACAACAAAGCAGTGGCAGTAGCAGTGGAGATTCGTTAGCTGCCCGTGTGAAAAACCTTCTGGGGAATCCTTTGATGCCTGTAGGCAGCACTGCTGATATCTCAGGAGGCTTCCAAAGCATGATGTCAAAAACAAGTGCAGCTGGAAGCAAAGCAGAAGGCGTGCAAGAGAGTGATGGCAGTAGCAGTGGGGACTCACTGGTTGCCCGTGTCAAAAACCTGCTGGGGAATCCTTCAGAGACTTCAGGCAGCACCACCAACGTCCCAGGAGGCTTCCAGAGCATGTTGTCAAAAAGAAGTGCAGCTGGAAGCAAGGCAGGAGGCGTGCAAGAGAGCGATGGCAGTAGCAGTGCAGACTCTCTGTCTGCCCGTGTCAAAAGCCTTCTGAGAAATGGATCGTCTCTAGTGCCTGCAACACCAATTCTGAGGAGTGATGATGAAGAGGAGAGGAAAGCACGAGGTAACAAATGGTCAATTAATGGTCAATGTCTTTTAGTCTTCCTATGAAAGACAAGGGGGAGTGGTTTTAAACTGAGACAGGGGAGGTTTAGGTTGGATATTAGGAGGAAGTTTTTCACCCAGAGGGTGGTGATGCACTGTTACAGGTTGCCCAAGGAGGCTGTGGATGCCCCATCCCTGGAGGCATTCAAGGCCAGGCTGGATGTGGCTCTGGGCAACCTGGTCTGCTGGTTGGTGACCCTGCACACAGCAGTGGGTTGGAACTGGATGCTCGTCGTGGTCCTTTTCAACCCAGGCCATTCTATGACTCTATGATAATAGAATGGGACAGCATTTTACTCGACTAATTTGAATACCTTTTCTTGCCAGTGTTGATACTGTGGTTTTATCCACGTAGCCATTAGAAATGTGCTAGGTTAAGTGACTGGGAAGGGATTGTGTGAGAAAGTGTTGATTTGAGCCAAGGACTGTAAGCATCTCACAAGCAGGCAGTAGTTCCTTGAGCCATCTTTACAAATAAATTCTCAAAAGCTCCTTTTTCAAATCATATTCTTGGTTAGTCTGTCTGTGTGCTTTGTATATTCAAACAGCTGTTTGATACTGGTCTTCATATCCTTTGTCATGGCTACTAGAAGTGCATAGCATGCTTTTGATGTTAAATTATAAAAAGAAAAGCAATCTGCCTTCTGTTCTGATATTTTTGTGTGTAGCATGGGTGAAACTAAAGCTGGCCAGCAGATCTGAGGAAGCTGCGTTGGACTTGAATGAAGAGGACCGACAAAGGATAGAGGAAATAAAGGCAGAACTGCTGCTGAGTGCCAAGAGATCTGGACAAGCCGAGGTAGAAGGGAAACAAACCAGCTGCTCTGCAGAAAAGTGTTTTAAGTGGTGAAGTCTTTCAGCTTACAGTGGTGAATTGTGTTCTTGCAACGTTTTTAGAGATGGATAGGCAGGGAGAGAGATGCAAACTATTGAGAGTGGATGAATTTGTTTCTTCTTTGAGCCTGGGTCATTGAGTTCCTGTCTGGGTTTTAGGATCTTGTATGAAGTAGAATCATTGAATAGTTTGAGTTGGATGGGACCTTTAAAAGCCATCTAGTCCAACTCCCCTGCATGGAACAGGGACGTCTCCAGCTCCATCAGTGCTCAGAGCCCCATCCAGCCTGACCTTGAATGTCTCCAGGGATGGGGCACCTCTCTGAGCAATCTGTTGCAGTGCTTTGCTACCCTGACTGTGAAACACTGTATGAAATGAGTAGGGGGTGGATGATCTATTCATGTTATTCAGGGTAGAGAACCCTGAGTTAGTGGAAGAGAGGCTGGATAATTAAAAAGAAGGTTGGGGCAGTTCTACTTGTCTGCCTCCACGTTGGCTGTGCATTGTTTTATCCAAATTCAGAGTAAGACAAAATGAATCTTGTTTTTTGCAAACCAAGCCTCCAAGAAATTACTTTAGGTCGACCACAATGCTTTCTGCTTTGATCTTGGGAATGTTTTACAATAGCTTTAATTTGAAATCCAAAGTAGTTCTGAATTTGCAGAATGAAGGTAGCTCTTTTTTTGCCATGCTAGATTAGATCCGAGCGGATTTTTTCCTCCGAGCAAAACAGTGTCACTGAAAAAATAGATTGTGGAAAAGAAAACTATTTAGCTGGAAAAAATGCAGCCAGTTTGATTGCTGACCAAATAATCTGCTGTAAATTCAGTGGATGCTGTTCTGCAGAACACCTGCTGAATTCAGAGCGAAGCTGACAATGCGTTGACTCGAACAAAACAAGGAATATAAAAGGATACTTTCCTTCTCCCAAACTTGAAAGGTTCTGAAAGGCAACCTGTTCCTAGCATTCACATGAACAATTCCTTTGTCAGATCATCATCTTTATTTAGTGCTTCTGATACAGGCTTACGATGAGTGTTCCTTTCAGAAAGTTTAGGCTCTGCTTCTCATTTTCACAGGCGACAATTCACATAATATACCACCAGGATGTTTTATTGTTTCTAGCAGGAAACTTGTGAAGCTTGCTTGTAAAAATAAAGTGCAAGGAAAGAGCGGGACAGCTTGGGAGAGTTCTTCAAACATTGTTCCATCGTACTTTTGGGGTATTGAGTGTCTGCTGTTTGTCACTTCTGATGTGTTGGATAACAGATGCTCTAGAAAGAAAGTGCTGTGATTTCTCAAGTCCTGGCTGAGCTGAGTGTTTCAGGGAGGTGATTGGGACATGTGCATGCAGGCAGGCTCCAAACATGCACCGAATGCTGCCCCCAAACAGGAGCACGAGAACAGCATTTGCTTTTGAAGATGCATTTTGGATAGCAAGCAGTTCTCACGGCTGTAACTCAAAATCTGAATTGTTTGCTTTGCTTTCTCTTCTGTAAAACTGACAAACCCTGCGTTGTGGAGGAGTCCTATGGATTTTATAGCTTGCCCATTGTACACTAGGTGAGAAATACTCATGCTGTTACGCCTTTATATTGACCACTAAAACTTTGGAGGGATGCTGAGGGATGGATGGCAAACATGGAACTTCTGACACCAGGCTTTTTTCCTAAGTTTTGTACTGACTCCATTTTAGTGTTGATTTGTAACTGGCTGCTCCAGGAGAGGGGAAGTGCAGTGCATTGGGCTGCTTTGGGAGAGTAGCACAGGAGCAAAAGCATGAGGATGCACTCACTGCAAATGTTATGTGAAGGGGCCTAAGAAGAGTTGCATTTTAGGCTGTCTGGAGATGGGCCTTGTGGCACACAGGATATTCTGATTCTATACTTTCTATAAGCTTAGCTTTACAGCATTGTGATGGAGGGAGGCAGGGAGCTGCCTATGATGTTAGATGAATAATTTCTATTTCTGTAGGCAGATGAAACAACCCAAAAACTCACAAGCAGCATTCTGTTCAGGACTATTGTCCTGCCTGTGTAACCTGCCTGTGCCTTTTGTGTACATTCGAGGCCCTCAGTTTGAACTGAGGGCTTTGGGGTGAACCTTTAACACACTTAACACTGTTTTGTCCCTCTAAATTAAGGATCTTTTAACTCCACCTGTATTGATATGGCTGTCCCTTGATCTACCTAAGTGTTCTCCCCTTGGGTGCTGTATTCTTCCACTGTATTTTTCCATTCCTCCTTCTTTTCTTTTCCAGGAAGTTCACGGAGTTGTAGCTCTAAATTTGCACCGCGTTCTCTTGTGGATCATATGCCAAACAAATCTTTTTTGGAAAGATGACACATAAGGAGCACAATAAAACATGTGAAAGGCTTGGGTAGATGAGTTTATCACAACTTCTGTCACTTTTGGTAGTAGGAGTTGCTGCGTTCAGGCAGTTGAACTGGTATGTGTTTCAGGGAAGATTGTCCAGGGAGCTCTCCTGCCCTGACACACAGCTGATCTTTGTCCTTGCGTGCTTCTATGGTTACTCATTGTCAGCTGCAAGAAATACATGGGCTCAAATAAGCTAAAATACTTGCTTAGTATAGATAAGGCCACAGAAATGCACTGCTCTGGAAGAATAATGGATGCCCCATCCCTGCAGGCATTCAAGGCCAGGCTGGATGTGGCTCTGGGCAGCCTGGGCTGCTGGTTGGTGACCCTGCACACAGCAGGGGGTTGGAACTGGATGAGCATTGTGCTCCTTTGCAACCCAGGCCATGCTAGGATTCTATGATCTGTGTTGCAATTTATTAATGAAATACACTCTGCAGTTTCAGCAGATGTTCCAATCAATAGGGGGGAAAATATATATCTATATCTATATCTATATATATATTTAATTAAAATAAGCCCATCTGGATCATCTCACTGGCAGTACACTTAGCTCAGATTGGCTGGCTGCACCTCAGTGAAAATCCTATAATTTTGAATGACAGTAAAATTAGGGAAGTGCAGATAGCAATAAGTTGATAAAATGGTGTCCACACTTAAGAAATTCCCCTTAAACTATAGGCTGTCAAATTTCTTTCAGGTTATGTGGTTTAGGTCAGATTTCTTTAGGTGAGGGGAGTCTCAATGTGCAGTGAAATGGTCCCTCTGGAACTGCTACAGCTGCTTCCAAAAATGGCTGTTCCTGTTGTCTTGTTGCTGCCCCTCATTGGGCATGCCCTCCCTGTAGCTGAGCAGAGATAGCAAGTCAGGTGAGTAGTTGCATTAGTTTGCTTCAGGACAAAGTCTGATGTGGTTTCTGATCACTGTTGACAGTAATTTATTAGCTGTGAAAGTGAACTTCAGCTTTTGCCAGCATTTTGGAGCTGCTTTTGTCCTGTTCTGTTTCCAAGGGTGGATAGTGATAGGACAAGGGGGAATGGCTTCAAACTGAGACAGGGGAGGTTTAGGTTGGATATGAGGAGGAAGTTTTTCACCCAGAGGGTGGTGAGGCACTGGAACAGGTTGCCCAAGGAGGCTGTGGATGCCCCATCCCTGCAGGCATTCAAGGCCAGGCTGGATGTGGCTCTGGGCAGCCTGGGCTGCTGGTTGGTGACCCTGCACACAGCAGGGGGTTGGAACTGGATGAGCATTGTGCTCCTTTTCAACCCAGGCCACTCTAGGATTCTGTGTCCATTCTTACATCCTGTTTGATCCATGGGAAGAAGGTGCAGAAAGTCAGGCAGTGAGAGATGTGAACCAGCCACAGAGAGAGGGCCGTGTTTTGTCTGTCCACCTTACTGCATTACCTTACTGCATTACCTGCATACCTTATTGCAGGTGATGAATGTTCTTTGTTAGTAACCACTCTATGTAATGATGTTGAGATTATGTTCAGACTTCATCAATGTCTTTGGACACGTCTCTGTGTTGTTTCTCAAGGCCTTACAGCCACCTGCTGAGCCCTTCATACCTTCTCTCTCTGTTTGGGATATGTAATGCTTTATCTGAAGAAGATGCAGAGATTTCATTCTGAGATGCCAGAAAGCAGCAGCATTTCCTTTGAGAGCAGAGGCTATAAACAAGAAGCACACGCTGGGAATTCTCCCATTAGCTGCAGTGCCAGCAGCACAACACAACTGTGTGCCTCATCAACAGGTAGCTGGGAGGCAGTAATACCATGTGAGAAGCATACCAAAAGGAGGGTATGGTTTTTTGTTTGTTTGTTTGTTTTTAAATCTGATTCTCCTGTGAAACTATAGCCTATGTTGCTTTGATTTGGTTTACTAGCTGCAATAAATTATTGCTGTTGGGGTTGTTCTGTTGGTGGCAGTGGGCTTTGAGGTGGAGGAGAATACAAAGCAATGAGGACTGGAGATTGTGCTGCTTAGTGAAATTGGACAGGAAAACAAGGGAAGAAGTTAGAACAAAAGTAAATTATTAGCTTCAGCTTCTTGCGTGACCATGAGCAGGCAATATGTATTTGTGGCAAATGTGTCTGTTCTGATGGGAGCATGAAAACAATTTGCACCTGAAACTGGGAGAGGTTTTACAAGTCATCGCTTTCCTTGAAGAGCAAATGAAGGATCTGATTATTTTAAATCATATTTTAATAGTCAGCTGTGAGTGGTGATGGAAAAAATAAGAAGTCTTATTGCAGTTCTTGTCTGAAAGGGAAATTAGCATGCTTGTTTTACAGGAAAATAGAAATAGCAATTAGGCAGAATTAAAGCTTTTCTAATTAAACATTCTCGTGCTTTCTAAACAGCACCTTTCTTTTCTTCCCTCTTGTTCCCATGTAACAGAATTCCTTTCACTTCAGTTCCAGTTCACGAATGCTGGAGTTGAACCGTTTGAGAGAAAACCTTTATACAAATTACTGTTTTGTATTGTGGTAGGGCATAGCAAAATGTCACATCCAGGACTATTCCTGTCACCTTCAAATGTCACAGCACAGTGCTTTGATTGCATGGAGTTGGGCTCTACTCCAAACCTGTGTTTGTTAGCTTGTGTCTGCAAACTGATTGCTTGGAGGTTGCCAGCATTAAGCATCACGTGTTTGGTTAAGGTTTGACTACTTGTGGCTGGAAGCAAGCATGGGGGTTTTACTGCATTCTGTACGTGTTCCATGGAGCTATGGAAGGTTGCCTTCCATCAGGAGTGTAAAGACTGCAGGTAAAGTTGTGTATAAAACCTCTCCCCTTAGAGATTCGTGAAATCTGAATGGTAAATCCCTCAGCATGCTGTTCCAGTGCTGAAGGTAGTTGTATTTAAAGCAGGAGATTGGACTGGAGGCCTCCAGTCTCTTCTAACCTAAATGTTTCTGTGAACGTGCAGCTAATTGATACGTTATTTTAATTAAAAAAGATGATTATGGAAATATGTGTGTGCCTCTAAATCCATTTGAACGTAGTGAACAAACATGCATTCATTATTCCTGGTGTTTTGTGAACTGGGCTTATGCTAAGTCAGCTGTGTATGAAGCAGACCCAGAGGTAGAATGCTTTGACACAATAAAAAAACAACACAGGTGACAGCTAGAACTCAGCTTTATAGGTTGTAAAACTGAAAGGTTCTGTCTCTGTCAGGCTAATTAGGCTGTAGATACTTCTCAGCATCGCTCGCTGGTAAACAAAAATAACTGTTTTCCAATTTGCTAGCACTCCAAAGCAAAATAAAACAATTTTCTTAGTTGCATTAAGAAATAAATTCAAGAGAAAAGCGTGTGCTTATTTGTAGTACAGACTTTTGATGACTGGCAGCTCTGTTCTTTCTTTGAATTCTGAGATTCTGACTTCGGTGAGAGCAGGAAATTGTCCATGTAACCTGTATGAGATCTTCTGTGTTTTTCAGGGTACACGGAGTTACATTTCAGAAGCTGCTTCTCTGTATAGCTGTAATCAGGAAGCAGACAAAGAGCATTCCAGAGCTTCAAGTGACAAGAGATTTCATTCTGACAGCCACACACAAGCCTCGGGGACTAAGGAGATTTTAAAGCCAAGCTTACAACACGTTGTGCCATTGTATAGAGCTGAACTTTCAGACTGTTGTTTACTGAAGAATACCCAGCTTAAATCCTTAAGTACTGCAGAACCTCCTACCTGCAGGCAGCATCAGGCCGTTGCAAGTAGCCATTCTGGCTGTGTTGGCCTTCATCTGCCACTGCAGAAGCAGCAGGACACACGTGTGAGGAGCTTTACGGCTGCTTCTGATGCACAGACAGAAAAAGTCCCTTCACCAGCACAGAAGAAGCTGTCTTTTCCAAAGTGCTCTGAAGAGATGTCAAAGCAAATTACATCCATCACCTTTTCATCCCGAAGGCGTTTTCAATCACCGTTGACTTCCGTGGTCCTCGATGGCTTTTTTAGTGGAGATGATCTTGATGAGATAATGCCTTTGGAGACGGATTCAGCCACTGCTGAGGAACAGAGCCATGGCAAAAAGCACTGGGAGAGATCTGAGATCTGTCCTCCTTCGAGTCCGGCTCTGGCTGGCTCACCATCTGATGAAATTGCATTTCCTGCTGACAAAGACACGATTCGTGATGTCTCTCCTGACGGTAACAGAGATGGAGCTTATCAAGAAACAGACTGTTTGTCAGATCGGGAGTCTGTAGCCGTCTATGCTGATGAGAGACAGACTCCCAGTGCAAAAAATCTTGACGCTCTGTCTCAAGATGTGACTGAATTGGGCAGGCATGGCGCCAGACTTCTGGGGCTTGACTGCGATAGAAAATTCAGTCAAGGGATGAAGGGCCTTCACGAGCCCCATTCTATAAGCTCTTACCAACAGGAGAAAAGCAGTCCTACCAGCCATGTCCAATTATGTGAGAGCTTTGAAGGTTCTGATCCAGCCACACAGACTGATTTGCCAAAGGACCGTGGGAAGCTGTTGGAAGAAGAGAAACGTCCTTCTGATGCAGTGCCTCTCATTCAGAAAGAAGGTGCTGGAGAGCAAACTGGTGTGTCTCAGCATTCATCTCCAGATGAGATTTTATCCACCATGTCTCCTTCATCACCAATTAAGAAAGTACTGTCTTGCGTCCACATCACTCTTTCCCCAAAATGTAATAACTCAGAGCCACACAGGGACTTGAATACTGAAAATGAGATGAGACTGGGGGACAAACTTGAAGTGAATTCTCAACCAGTGCCTTTAAAATCTCCAAAAACTTTATTAGAAGCTGTTCCTAAATTACCCACTGCTGAGCTCATTCCAGAAGATCAGAGATGCTCATCTTTCCCAGGGCCTTCAGCAGAGCCCTGCCTGGTGTTTTCCTCTGTTCCAAGCACTGCAGGGCGAGAGCTGCCTTTGCATGGCAGTGAGAAACTGCAGGCTGTGAATTCAGGTGGTTGTAGCCTGAAGAATATCTGCAACTGCACAGATCCTGCAAAAAGCAGGAAAAGCACTTCTGATGCTACCACTCAGATCACAGAAAGCCCTGGAAAAACAACCTTCTCGGCAGAGATCTATGTTAATTCACAAGACCCTGAAAGTTCTGCCCATCAGTCTTCAATCCAGAAAGCAAAAGAACTTCCCCAAAATACAACTTCATCTCTTAACAGGACTTCCTCTTTCCCAAGGCAGGGTGGTGAGCAAATCAGTGTCATGTATTCCTGTGTTGTTTTGCATCTGTTCAACTGCGAGGTACTGATGGGTACTAAAAACCAACCATACAGACAGACAGAACAAAAAACCCCAAACTTTTTGTGGAAGTCACAGTCTGGAGATGATTCTAATGTTGATATTTGAAGTTCATATGAAACGAACCCTTGAAGTTTACATTCTTGCTTGTAGGGAGCTGTATCCATACGGTTGTGGTTCAGTTCAACTTAATTTGAAACTGAATCTGTTGGAGGTGGACATGGTTCAGGAAAGTTGTACGGTTTTACAGTTTTAGATGACTGATATGGGTCAGTGCTTACAGCTTACCAAGGGCTGTGTCTGATTACTGATAGACTCTCTAATCAAAGTAGTATGGAAGCAAAGAGGGAAGGGTGAGGGTTGCTATTCTAGAATAAGATGCATAGAACAAAAGAGAGTGTGCAGGGATTTTAAAATCTGTTGCTGGAGGAATGTGAATCATATTATCATTGAATGGCTTGGGTTGAAGGGACCTCAAGGATCATGAATCTCCAACCCCCCACCACAGGCAGGGCTTCAACCTCCACATTTCACAGCAGCCCAGGCTGCCCAGGGCCCCATCCAACCTGGCCTTGAACACCTCCAGGGATGGACGGGGCATCACAGCCTCTCTGGGCAGCTGTTCCAGCACCTCACCACTCTCTCTGTCAAGAACTTCCCCCTCACTTCCAACCTAAATCTTCCCTCCTTCAACTTCAAACCATTTCCCCTTGTCCTGCTGTTATCTACCCTTTCAAAGAGTTGAATATGGATGTTTTAGTGTTCTTTCCATGTTGCTGTTTTGTAGTACTGATGCATGTAGATGTATTTTTTTCTGTAATCCAGGCTTTCTTTCTGTCTCTGTACTCAAGGCGTTTAAAATAACGAGTTGAGAACTAATTACTTAATTACATCAGAATACACAAATGTGTCAGCTATTTCATCACTCATTTTCTTCTCTGTCAGAAGTCAGCTAATATTATAGTCCAAACATTTGCTGATGTTCCGATGACACGCCGTATTTCTTGTCTTGAGAGCCAGATATCCATATTCATTTAAAATTATTTCATTAAGCATGGGTCAGTAGAGGCTGTGTGGGTATATGAGTTGCAAGCAAGCTACTTTGCCAGTCCAATTGGCAGTCAGTCTTTTATCAGTTTGCTTTCCTGAAGAATGAGCTGTTTCTCCAGATTTACTGCTGTGAACGATTCCGTTCCTTTCTGTAGCTTTTATCATCAGTCGCATTCAAGAATTGCATCCTGACTTCTGTTAATTGCTTTGCTTTCCACCCCAGCAGGTCAGCCATTACTGCTGCCATATAAACCTTCTGGAAGTACCGAGATGTATTATGTTCCTTATCAAAAAACAGGAGCCAACATTTCTTCACTTGGATCAGAAAAGAGCGGTGAGAGCTTTTACTCAAGCACTTACTTACTTTAGGTTTCCTAAATGCGATGGCTGAGGTTTATTTCCAGCAACAGCTTTCTCAGGACTGAATTTCTGTCCTCCACGTTAGGAGATTTCACTGCAGAAGCTGCTTCTATAAACAAAGTAATTTGTAATTGTGATTTAAAATATGCACTCATCTCTTTCCCCGCACATCTCCCTGTAAAAAGCACTTGTGACAAAAAGGATCAGCTGGGATTAATCAATTTCTGCTTTACCTCTTGTTTCTTAGTCCTGTATATGTAACAACCACATTGCTTAAGCCTTACAGGACTTGCACTGTTTTCAGGCAGACCTTTTTGACATACAAAACCATTTGTAGCCAAAATTAATATTACAAAGCTGTCCAGCTCCTATCTGATGCCCTTCAGGGAAATAGGTTGGTGCAGCAGCGATGGTAGGTGCACAGATTAGCTGTTGTAGCCACAGGTTGTGCTTGTGATTATGTCTCTGCTCATTACCTCTCTGCAGTGTTGCTGTTGTAATATGGTTAAAAGGAGAGAAACAAACGTGATGTGAGTCTGTTGTTTTGCAGAATGTGAGATGCTAGCTATAAAAATCCAACACGCGTATGAGATGGTGCAAGGTTCTAGAAAGTGTACAGAGGAATTAAAATAAATATGGAGTTGTTTTGAAGCTCCCTGCTGCAGCTTGGATTCTCAGCTCTGAGTAGCAGCTGAAGGAAGCTGAGTGAAGTCTGCTGTTTGTAAGCAGGTGGTGTTGACAAGAATGGTAAATCAGTTAGGGGCCATCTTAGGTTTCCAACATTAGGAGACAGCAGTACTAAGAGAACTCTGCTGCTGTTGTCTTGAATTCTTGTTTAGAGGTTATGCAAGACTCTTGTCTTGTAGTCCTTTGCTATTCAAAGCTCAGAAGATACACGTTTACATCAGTCACTGAAAATGTGTGCAATTTGAATTTGAGCAGGAGTCTGAAGTCCTTGGTCTGCCTTCCTAGCAACTTGTCTGATGCTAAAAGTTTCCTGTGTTCTTTCCTTCCCATTAGTGGGGTAGGTAAAACTTACCTGTGTCTCACAGAAGAGCCTTGTCACCAAAATTCATGGAAAACAACATTGCAGCACCCACTGCTTTATTAGAACTGCTCTCTAGGTATCATGATGGCTGATTTCTGAAGATGTTGCACTGATACTTGTGTGACGGGATTTCTTTCAGACAACTTTGCTGTAAGATTTGCCTCTATTTTTCCTGTTTCCTCTTTTTACTTGTAATTATTGCTCTCTTTTTTTCTGCAGGATCAAATGATGCTCTTCCCTCGGGGCTTCCAGCAGATGTGCTTGGTGTACAGGATGATAAGCCTCCAGGCACTACAGCTATCAAGCATAAAGAGGGAGTCTGCTGTAAGAGAGCCAAGCCCAAGCTTGCCTGGGCTGAAGAGCAAATGACAGCCCAGGAAGGTGCTCCAGGTAGCTTTTCTAACATGTCTTCTCATACATATAAAATAAATAAAAGCATAAAATCTACATGATTTTTTTGGTCTTATGCTGGCACTCTTTAAAGTGCTAAGTATGGAAAGGATGCACAACAGAAATTCCTTGGTAAATAAAAGCCCATGGAGTGTATCTGTATATTGGGTAGGAGTTTTGTTCCTTCTCACAGATACTTTGTGACATCACAAGATCGCAGTGTTTCTCTGTAACAGTTGTATTTTACTCAGTTCTAATTGGATTTGACTGTCTCTTTCTTCTTTTCCTCCATTAACCTTGTTGAATGGTGCTCCTGAGGGATGAAGGTCAGTTTTGATACTCTAGCAGCCTACTTTGAGGCAATCTTGCACTGTTGGAACGCTGACAAAATGAAATTACACTGAGCTAAATGACAATTTTGTGTGGTGTCTCATGATAATAACTAAAATTAATCCTGATGAATGCTTCTCTACCGAATCTCATCCAGTGGTTTTTGAATTTTGCCATGTGTGAGTTGGGATGAGGGTTTTTTTTTTTTGTTGTTGTTGAGTTTGTGAATTGTATCCTTCCTGGACAGAAGGAACTGTAAAAAAGAAAATGGCATATTCATTGCCATCTCTTCTGGATAAAGCTGTGAGTTATAAGGGAAGGTGCTTATTGTGCACAGTCCAGTGCTTGCAGCAGTACTTGCTGAATTAAACAGAGTGAGCAGGTTGCTAGAAGGCAGTGTAATTATGGCTGTTAATGATGGATGGCATAATGGATCCTGAATGACAGAGTTCTTAATCTTATAGGCAAAGTCCCACACATTATTTCTGGGGAGCCCAAAAAGAGAAAATAAATCTTTTGGGTCATGGTGGTAGAAATGGAGGGGCAGTGTGTGGATAGAAGGGAGCTTTCTAAATGAGTTTCTGCAGCAGGAAACAAAATACTGTGTTGGAATAGCAATAGAATGGTGCTGTGTGTCTGAACAGCCTGGATAGAAATGAGAGGGGAACACAACTGTTAATGTAAAATTAACTTTATTTTTCTGTAGCAGTGATATTCTCAAAACACAAGTAAATAAAAGAGCTGTAAGTAGAAATGGTCTTTTGTTAAAACAGTACAGCTGGAAGCTTCAGAAGGCTTTCTGAAGGAAAACCTGCATTTTTAACATCTTCAGACTCTTTCAACTATATTTTTAGCAGGTCTAATAAAAGATTACCTCTACCCACAGTGCTTGTCTAGAGCTTAAATTTATGCAAGTTATGTATTTGTTTTTTAAAGAAGTTTATCTGTATGAACTTTGTTTTATTTTTTGGATGTTTGCATTCCTTCTGTCTTGTTGTTAAAACTACAGAAATAGCAAAAAATCTGCATAGTATTCCCAAGTCTAACCTTGTTAGTCAAGAGGATCATAGAATAATAGAATGGCCTGGGTTGCAAAGGAGCACAGTGCTCATCCAGTTCCAACCAACTGTGTGCAGGGTCACCAACCAGCAGCCCAGGCTGCCCAGAGCCACATCCAGCCTGGCCTTGAATGCCTGCAGGGATGGGGCATCCACAGCCTCCTTGGGCAACCTGTTCCAGTGCCTCACCACCCTCTGGGGGAAAAACTTCCTCCTCATATCCAACCTAAACCTCCCCTGTCTCAGTTTACAACCATTCCCCCTTGCCCTATCACCACCCACCTCCTCCTGTTTATACGCTCCTTTCAAATATTGCAGGACCACAAGGAAGTCTCCCCAGAGCCTTCTCCTCTCCAAGCAATACATTAAAACAGTACAAATATAAGCAAAGCAAGCAAGGAAACCAGTTCAGCATTGGTACCTAAAACAAGCATTCCTAACAGCCCTCACTAGCTCTGTCTTCCACAGATAGCACAGGAGGAAAAACCAAGTACTGAAGCCACGTGGGTATTGAAAACTACACTGGAAGGAAATGATCTCTTGTGATCAGTTGGCTACCATAGAATCACAGCATGGCCTGGGTTGCAAAGGAGCACAGTGCTCATCCAGTTCCAGCCCCTGCTGTGTGCAGGGTCACCAACCAGCAGCCCAGGCTGCCCAGAGCCACATCCAGCCTGGCCCTGAATGCCTGCAGGGATGGGGCATCCACATGCTGTGCTGTTTAAATGCAGTTTAACCCCAAAACATGAGATTGCATCTGGCCATGCTGTTGTCCACGTAGAACTGAGGTTTTGTAAAACAAAAGGCTGTGATTCTTGGTAAGGCAGGCAGGTGTGTTTCTCAGTGGAACAGGGAGAAGCTCAGCTTTGGGAATCTTGCTGACTCAGTGGCAAAGCTTGCTTAAAATAGAAGAAGACTTGGGTTCCTGTTCAGTGTTTTTGCTACAATTGCAGGAGGAGTAAAACAGGAAAAGATTGCTGGAACCAGCAACCAAACATTTGAGAGCAGGAGGAGGGAGAGTTAGAAATGGTAGTGAAGGAAAAGGTAAATTGGGGGTAACTTATGCCAATGATGGAGTTTGATATGCATTTGCTGGCAGCTCACCATTACCTAATCACTGGCATTGCCATTAGTAAATGGACTATTCTGTTTTCTATTAACTTTTTGAGTTAAAGCTGTTATAATGAAGTTATAAAAGTATATACAGTTTTATATAGTATATAAAGTTATAAAACTTTATAATGCATTTTTAAGCTGTGCCTGGCTCATATGGCATGAAATAACATTGCAGGAAGCAGAGGGGCTTGAGAAGCTGTTCAGGCACTAGCAGCTATTGTTCCTGCTTTCTTTTTGGATCATTATACAACTACAATTATATATAACATTATATAACTTAGTCATGCTAAGGACGTAGCATGAAACATTTCTCCTGTTATTAAAATGTCATGGCTTTTACAGTTTATAGCAAATGGCTTTAAAATTGGCTTGGAGTACTTTTCTGCTAGTATGTACTGCATGCATGCTTAATGTATATCTTTTAAAATGGGTTTATAATTGGATTTTCTGCATGTAGTCCTCTGTAATTTCAGGTAGCAGCATCTTCTGGGGAGGGAATTCACTACTACTAGCTATAATGTGTTAACTGAGCTTCAGAGCAAAGCAGAGCTAGGTGCTGGTATCCTATCAGAGAAGCTTCCAGAGCTGTAGAGGAGGTGGTGTTGGTTGTTTTATACATTGTGTTTCTCTGAATTACTTAAGAAATAATGCTTAAGCACAGCCTTTGGCAACACTTGTACATCCTGGGCATTTATGTGAAAGGCACGCTGAGTTGTGGTTGATTGTGTTGAGTTTCCATGAATATAAATGATGGCTTTGACCAAATTTTGATCTGGGTAAGTACGTTCAGCGTTCTCTCACACTGAGCTGGATACAGCATTCTCTTGGATTCCTTACTGCAAATGATAGAAAAGTCAGTTACGTTTTGAGAATGGGAGTGTTAGGATGAGAATGACCCTGTTTAAGAATTGCCCTTTGCTGCCCTGCAAAGGACCAAAATTAAGGGGTTTTCTTCTCTTCTAGAAGGAAGTCATCATTTAAAGTCAGTGAACACCACTCAGTCAGTCTTCAAGTCTGCACAGTTCTACCTCCACCATCCAGTGCCCCTCTTATCCCACAGCGAGCTCTCGGAGGACTCTTCTGGTGTGGGACACACTGGAATTTCCTCCAGCACTGTCCTTCAGAATTGGAGGAAGGCACATCGACAGAGACGTGTTTTGTCTGCCCACCGGAGGGAAGATGGCGACCGTGAATTCTTCCCACTCGTTGCAGAAGCAGATCACAGCAAGAACGAGGATCTAAACATCCATACATCTTTGAGTAACGAAACCCCAAGAGAGGAGTTGCTTCAGCGGGGCGGGAGAGAAGCAGAACAAATGGCAGCTCGTAGCCAAACGAGTCACCTTTGTGAGAATGTAGTTAAAGACCTGCCCGTGAGACAGAGAACCCACTCTGCTGGTAGCTTAGATGAGCTCTGGGTTCAGTTTTTGGAGCGCCAGAAGAGGTACCAGCAGCAGGATTTTCGGCGTAAAGGTGAGCTGAGCCTTGTTGAACGTCTCGATCGATTAGCCAGGATCCTTCAGAACCCCATCAGGTATACACTGACAGCAGCAAAATCAGAAAGGAATGCTTCTGAAAAACCAAGAGAGGAGAAAACAAGAGTGCTGGAGAAGAGCGTGCCTGAAAGTACCTCGCAGCCCCATGCAGCACGTGTTAAAGGGAGGCCACGTATCAACTATCGTGAAAGAAGCTTTGTTGAGCTCAGGAAAAATAGGTCAGGAGAGAAAGTTACCTGCCACACTAATGAAATTTCAGAACACCAGCAGTATTTGGACACTTCTAGTGACACTTGCTCAGAGAGAAGGCTTAGTAAAGAACTCTGCACCACAATCAGTTCCACCATCTCAGAATCAGATGCGCTAACACAAACGGACATAGAAACGACGACTCAGACTGAGGTGAGCAGTTCTGTTTCCACCATTGACACTGCCAGACTGGTCAGGGCTTTTGGGCACAGAAGAGTGCAGCTGTCACCAAGACTCTCCCAGCTTTATCGTACCATCCACCAGCAGAAAAGCCGCTCTGAAAAGTGGGAGGAGGAAGGCAGCGGAGTGAGGGGTGTAGAACATCCAAAGGTTACTTCTGAGAGACACAGGAAACAGAAAGAGACCCAGGTATGTACACTAAAAGACAATTTTGACTCATCTTCACAACTGCTCTTAAACTGCACAGGAGTAAGGTTTGTTGTTTGGAGAATCACTTAAAGTTTCCTGTAAAATGTTGCTTGTATGGTAGAAATATGGAATCACCAGGGAGAGAAAAGACCTCTAAGGTCATCCAGTCCATCTGTCCACCTATCATCAATATTTCTCACTAAAACATTTGGCAGTTTAAGCATATCAAAAGAAAGCCTTTGCCCTGAGCATTCTAGACAAAAACTCTGCCATAAAACTGTTTCAGAGCTGAGGAAAGAAGACTTTGGTTGGGTTTTTCTGTGGCCCCTTAGAGGAAGTGAATTCTCCTAAAAGGGGACCTTCATAGAACGGCCTGTGTTGCAAAGGACCACAATGCTCATCCAGTTCCAACCCCCTGCTGTGTGCAGGGTCACCAACCAGCAGACCAGGCTGCCCAGAGCCACATCCAGCCTGGCCTTGAATGCCTGCAGGGATGGGGCATCCACAGCCTCCTTGGGCAACCTGTGCCAGTGCCTCACCACCCTCTGAGTGAAAAACTTCCTCCTCATATCCAACCTAAACCTCCCCTGTCTCAGTTTAAAACCATTCCCCCTTGTCCTATCACCAGCCACCTCATAAACGGCCCTTTCCCCTCCTCTTTATACGCTCCCTTGTTATGGATTTGATGATTGCATTAATAAGTGTTGGTGTTCTGTAATGGATGTTGATACTGAGACTAGGAAATAGCTTGCTTCACATTTTGACAGAAGAAAGTGATAATGCCTCTGCTAGCAATGTATTTCCTGGAAAAATATAGTTTTCCTGTATACCAACAGCTAAAACTCTTCTGTCAAGCTATTGAATAGACATCTGAGGGAAGATAGGATTTTTCAAGGCTAAGAATTGTTTCAAATATGATTTTATTCCATTGTGTTAAGACTAATCATTCAGTGCCTGGTTGGACCTTAAAAGCAGCCTCTAATCTTTGGCTGCTAAAATCACCCGTGAGATAACAGGTTCCAGTCATTCTTAAATGAGAATTAAAGGACTGGGAACAGTGAGCTGAAGGTTGCATTGATTCTGAAAGCAGTATCTTTTATCATGCCTGCAGGCATTCAAGGCCAGGCTGGATGTGGCTGTGGGCAGCCTGGTCTGCTGGTTGGTGACCCTGCACACAGCAGGGAGTTGAAACCAGATGTTCATTGTGCTCCTTTTCAACCCAGGCCATTCTGTGTCTCTATGATGTGATGATGTGGTGTGTGAAGAGATGTGACCCACCTCAAGTAAGGATGAGACAAAATCAATGGCCAAACGCAAACTTTGTTTTAAAATCCAAGTGTAGGTAGATTCAATGATACGCTGCAGAAATCAAGATAATTTTTGGTTTCATGTATCTGTGGTTCAGATAACTTATTTATAGCAGGAGCCCTATTCCCAGAGGCACTACTGTGCAAATCTTTCAGACAAGTGCTCTGTTTTTTTGGGCGCCTATTGTCAGCTCTGCTTCTGGCAAACTCAACTGCAGCTTTTTTTTTTTTATATTTATTTATAGATGCTGAACCCATCCCAGAAGGTTTTTCTCTCTTCCAGTTTCTGTTTATTTCTAAAACAGTCTTCGAGCTGCCATCTGGTAGCAGGTACAAAGCTAAAGGTTGTGCTATATAACTGCTGAAGGGCTTTGAAAGCACTGCACTGAGTTTTCTAGTCCAAATAGCAACATGCACGTCAGTATTCAGTACCAAATTGCTGCTTACATTTATTTCTGCAGGCTGATATGCATGTGCATGTAAATGGGTTATCTCATTTTTAACTTTACAGTGTCTTCCCCTTTTGAGAGCACATTGAAATCCGTTCTCTGAAAGGAGATGCGTATCTCCTATGTCTGTCTGGTGTGCTCTATCAGAGCTCTAATAGTTTTATGAAACTAAAAAACAGCCCTTGTCAGCATGTGGGAGAGTAAAAATTGCCTCCTTTAAACGTTGAAACTGTGTTGCATTGAAGGGATGATAGCAGAGGATCAATAAAAAGGTAATTAAAAAGCCTCTGTTCATTTCCATTGTGGCTGGCGCTATGAGTTGCTAATAGGATACTAATTGCTAGGAGCAAGCAAAAAAAAAAGAAAAAGGAAGATCTGTTTCATAATTAAAAATGAAATTCAGCCAAGTTGCAGAGATTGGTCTGCACTGCGCCGCTGGGCTTGAAGCCTGGGGAAACTCTATCAGTTAATTGCTGTTAATAAAGCATTAGCGTTCTCTGTGCTTTATATAAACGAAGAAGCTCGTAGAGCAGATGCAATGCAGAGTGCAATCCATTTGACATGTCTGTAACATTACATCGTAAAATGGAAGTGAATTTATTGTAACAAAGTCCTGCTGCTTACTGTCTTTGTGGCTGGAATCATATAGACTCACAGAATGGCCTGGGTTGAAAAGGACAACAGTGCTCATCCAGTTCCAACCCCCTGCTGTGTGCAGGTCACCAACCAGCAGCCCAGGCTGCCCAGAGCCACATCCAGCCTGGCCTTGAATGCCTGCAGGGATGGGGCATCCACAGCCTCCTTGGGCAACCTGTGCCAGTGCCTCACCACCCTCTGGCTGAAAAACTTCCTTCTGAAACTCCTGTTTGTATGAATGTTGAAGACTTGAAACTAACATTGTGCTTAAGCCGTGCTCTTACTGTGAACCCCATGCTTCTTGCTTTCCTTGGACTCAGTTTTCTCTGCCTGGAGAACTGGTGTGCTGAGGATTATAAGGGTGAGAGAACTTCTCATGCTTTGAAAGGATTTGGCTCTGTCACTCCAGTGTTGCAGAACTGGAGTTCACAGTGAATTTGCAAAGCAGCATGTTACTTTTCCAAGACAGCTTGTCCCTGCAGCAGTCCCACAACCTTTAAAGGCTTTTGGTTTGAGAGGGTGGGAATATAGGATTCAGTTCAGATGGTTCTTCTCCCTCTTCCCACAGCAGAAATACTTTGCACTTTGTGATCTGTCCTGAAAGTACAGCCAACAGATCTTGCTGTAGCAAAGGCCTTGTCTTGATTTGCCACACTTATCCTTGAGCTTTGGGTGAGAGAACTGGAGGATGCCCAGCACTGTACAGAGTGCGATCACGAGCAAGCTCTTGCCTACAGGCACTGTGCCACTCTTTGTACTAGAACAGGGTTCTGGAAGTATATTGGTGCACGAGGATGAAACGAAGGCTGGCTGTTATGTGGCACAGCAATAAGTGACACTGATCAGCCTGTGTTGAACCTTGTTAATAATCACAGAATGGCCAGGGTTGGAAGGGACCTCAACGATCATGAAGCTCCAACCCCAGCAATACCAACAATACTAGTCTCAAGGTACAGTAAATAAAGAGCGCTGACAACTTCCTTGCTTTTTAAACCCCACTTTCTGTTCATTTCAGTTCTGTTTTCAGGAGTTTGCTCTCTTCCATGTTTGTTCTTTCTTCCCCTCTAGAAGGCATTGGATCAAGCTTTGACAAGCAGTGGTTCCTGGGGACCAAGCTCAGCTCTCAGCAACAAGCGACGCGCACGGATGTTAAACAAAGGTATCCAAGCAGGTGAGTTGTTGGGTTCCAAACTCATAGTTTGTGTGCTGGCTTCTTTTTGTCTCTTTGGAAACAGTTTGCCAACATCTGGTTTAAGTTTCCTGTAGTGGGGATGAGCGTGCATCATTCTTTAAATTCACTTCAAACGCTTAGAGAAAGATGTTATGTTCTAATTAAAATGAGCCCTTCGGCCTGCTTCACTAGTAGCCAGCTCTCTCTCACTGTTATGCTTTGTTAACCTAAACTTCTCCATTTAAATTGTAAAGGTGGACTATTTCTATTTTTTTTTAATATGTTGTTTTCTCTGCAAGGCATCTGTTGCTCACAGAATGTATTTTGTGGGCATATGCTGTTTCAGAAGGCTTGCAACTGCAGAGTTTCATATTCCTCTTAGTAATATTTTGGATGTTATATTCTATTTCAAATTTAAGCTCATCCTGATCAGGTCTAGATAAAACTGCAGTTCTTTTGGCCTGAATGTAAAGCTGTATTTATTCCTGCCACTGTGTCTTTCAGCAACAGGTTGGATGTTGGTTTTTCAGACCTCTGCTCAGGTCCCCAGCAAGGAGCACAGTTGGTTTGGCTCCCACACCCCTATGTGTGTGTGTGTGTGTGTGTGTGTATATATATACACTCAGTGTTTTGCCTGAGGGACTGAGTTCACACCTCTTCAATTATACCTGGATTATTACATATAGTAACAATCTTAGGTAACTGCAGACTTGCACTAAACTTAAAGTGGAAATATAAAAGATTTTGCCTTTTGAAAGGAGGTAAAGAAGGTGACCCTTGAGCTTCAAAGTAGGAATTGAAGGCCGCCCACTGCACTGTGGTGTTGCTGCTGAAGTACTTGTAGCTGCTTTAGAGTAAGGTATTACTGCTTCATTTTGAACTACAGGAGACTTGGAGATTGTGAATGGTGCAACGAAGAAAAACACTCGAGATGTTGGTGTGACTTTCCCTACCCCAAGATCCATCCAGTCAAATCAACGGCCGCGGGATCCCTGGCATCGTGTCGATGGTATTTTTGGAGAGTCAGATGGTATGGTCACAGATCACCAGGCAGCAGGAAGCAAGGGTAAGCAGAAGGGACAGCCAGGCAGTTTTTTCATGGAGAAAAGGACAAAAAGGAGCAGACTGCTTTTACCACAACAAGGTCAGTCCAAAATGTACTTTCTGCAGAGTGGAAAAGCTCTACGTCTTAACAGCAATCCTCAAGATGTGTGAGGAGGATTAGCTGGAGCACAAATTACTCACTGTCAGTTTTTATTCTGCTTTTAATGAGTGGATCTTAAACAGAGAAGCTTGCTATGCCAAGTGAACTTCCTGAGAGTTTATTATGATGCCATTTTCAACCAAGCTGTTGGAAGTAACCTTACTAATAATGGTGACAAAAAAAGCAATGAAGGAGGCAAGGAAAGATGAATAAGTTAGGAATTACGGAGATGCTTAATTTTGATTTTCAAATTATAAAAGGTTCTGTTAAGATCTGAGTAACTGGATGCTGTAATTTGTATGTAGTGCTTCAACTGGACTTGTGTCCCTCTTCCAACTAGAAATGTGAGTTTTCTGGGGCTGGTGGAGCAGTTTCCTGTTTTTTAATATTTCCTGTCAATCTTCACAGTGCCATGATGAAATATTTCAATATATGTTCCTTAGTCATCATTGTTGTTGTAGGGACAAATGATTCTCTATCATACCAGTTTAATTTAGAATATCTGATCAGGGTACTAGCTGATGTATTCTAGTCCCATTATATATGTTAACTGTGAGTAATTGAGTTCTTGTATACATATTCAACATTTGCAAGATGTACACTATTTGCTCTTGAAAAATATCTATTAAAAGCCATAAGGTTTAGGACAGCACATAGGCTCCTTAAAAACGTGTAGTTGCTGATAAATAAAGCATTCCTTCTAAAAAGAGAGGAGCATGAATGTAGGAAGCCATTTTGTACATTTCCTGAAGGGTTATTTCATAAAGGCTTGCTGATTTACTGACACTTGGCAAAGGAATTCTTTGAAACCACCAAAGTTGTCTGACACCAAGTCACACTGAAATCAATGCAGTAACTGAAGTGTTTACTGCAGTGTTAGGCATGGATTGTGTTAGCTGAGGTCTTGGGCATGAAAGGCTACAGATGAGGATGGAAAAGGGGCATGTGCATTGTTTGCTTATCTTCATTGTCTTCTGTGGTTTCTTCAACAGGGATTTCATGGTTTGTCCAAGCAGAGGATTTGAGGTTTGAATCTAGGAAAGAAAACTGTTCCAATTCCATCCCTGGTCCTGGTTCATCTTGGTTTGAACCCTTCACCACCATGAAGCCCTGGAGAGAGCCTCTGAGAGAGAAGAACTTTCAAGAGCAGCAGTGCAGCAAAGTGACTCAGCTTGCAGCTCCAGAAAGAGATGCTGAGACCAGGCCCATCCAGCCACTGGTGAAGCTTACGCTGCAGGTAAAGGCATGCTGGGGTCCCTGTGACTTCAGCACTAATGTTGAAGCTTGTGGAAGCACTTTTTATTCCTCTTCTTCCTTCTTTTTCCTGACTGCTTTGTATTTACTAGAACCCAAACAAAAAGTGGTCATCAGCCTCGTTTGCTTGTGGCAGCCTGGCTTTGCACAGTATAATGATCTATTTGAATTGAGCAGTGTGGAGGGAATGTAGGAGAAGTGATGTCAAGTCATTCTTGCTGCCATGCAGAAATAATAGTATGATGTACATAGTGTGTAGTAAAAATAGGCTTTAACTCATGTGTTGCAAGCAGTGTATGCATGTATATTCATGCATGTACATACATCAAATCAAGTGTCACCACTATATGTTTGTATTTTTCCACAGGTATTTAGTGTGCATAAAGATTTCTGTAACAGTTATCTGCAACAAGTGAAATTAGATTGATAGTTTCTGTTCAGGTGCGCTTGGGAGGTTCCTTTAAATTCAGTTGCATCTATTCCTGTTGTGCTGTTTTGATTATTCTGATTGTAGGGAGGCTGTGTGGCCACTTCAGATTTTGTTTCCTCCTCCCATCCTAGGAGGCTCTTGCAGTGCATCGCCCTGATTTCATCTCCCGCTCCGGTGAGCGCGTGAAGCACCTGAAGCTTTTAATGGAGGAGAGGAGAATGCAGAGCGTGCTGCAGTCTGAACCAGAAGAGCTTTTTAATCCTCCAGAGAAAAGGAAGGGCTACAGGAATGCAAGTCATGTGCTGGCTGACAGAGGTACCTCTGTGTTTCTTCTCCTGGTGTCCTATGGGAATTAATTCACTTCCCCGTTCTAAGGGATGTGTGTGCTTTTAATAACAGTGTTACGTTTATGTTATGTATAAAAAGCCAGAAAGTCCATATAGGAATAAGTTGACACAACAGTTTTCTTTGTGGTAAGCAGACTTGTACATTGTTTTCTTATCTATTTAGGTTATCTGATTAAAGAAGAGAGAAGAGCAATTCCAAAGAGTGAGATGGTTCAAAGATCTAAACGGTAAGGTTGAGTAAATGAGGAGGAAAGAGGGATGAGTTGCATCTGAGGAAGAAAAGAGGGTGGGGGGACGGCTTGGGGGTGACTCAGCTTTTACAGTTCAAGGAAAAGGCACTTTATCAGAGTCAGAAAGCACCTATTTATAAAATCCTAGAAGTAAAACCACTTTGAAATATGTATATTTTTTAACCTGAGTATTCTGTAGCGGTATCTGGGGTCCAACCACTACAACTTTCCAAGTGCTGGATCCCAAAAGGAGATGAAATGTAGGGTGCTGGAGTGTGTAGTTTTAAACCTGGTGGTGGGATAAGCAACAGTAGTAATGTGTTCCATTAAGGGGAGAGATGAGTGAATATGTTTTTCTCAAAGAGGGTGGTGTAATGCTGGACCAGGGATTCACAGAGATGGGAAAATCTCAATCCTTGGAAATAGAGGTTGTGACAGGATGAGGCCTGAGCAACTCAATCTAGCCTTGAAGTTGGTCCTGCTTTGAGCAGGAGATTGGACTGAATGACCTCCAGAGGTCCTTTCCAACCTAAATGACACAGTGATTCCACAAACCATCCATTGGAATGCACAATATATAAAACAGACCCTGTTTTGTATATGGTGGAAGGAAAAAAAGTGTTTTACTTGAATGGCCTTTGACATTGAACAGTATTTTTAGGGCACTGATAGAGAGGTGACAAAAAATGGTAAGTATGCCAGCTCCTTCAGGAACACACCTCCATGCTTTAGTTGAAATGGAAGGGTTTGGGTTCAGGTCACTTGAACCTTGTGGTTGATATGTCTGAACTCAGCTATTTTCAGAAACCCTGGTTTTGTAACACCTAAATCAGCAGGATTTCTATGGAGACTGATTCAGGCAAGTCACACTTGGTGGCATTTTTTTGTTCTTACTGCTGTCATACTCCAGCTCTCAGTTGGATCTGAGAAGCAATTTATTCCATTCTTCTGAAATCCCTACCTGTAATGAGTACAGAAGCTTTTGCTTTTTCTCTGCAAGGGAATAAATGGAATTTCTCATGGTAAATTAGCTAGAGCTAAAGAAAACAATTTTCAATGAATTGACCCATAATGCCAACTTGTCTGCTTCTTGCTTTAAATATCTTTATGGGGGGATGAATCAGTGAGTGGTAAACCTTGATCTTTCACTCAGGAGAGTCTTGGGATGGTGAAAGCTTTAGAGAAGGATGATATAGTAGTAAAGTAAAACTCCAAATCCCCCCTTCAGTAGCACTTACATAGACCTGTCACCCTCTGCTGCCCTACAGACAGATGTCAGAGGTGGAAAGTAAGCATCCAAATGTGATTTACTTCATGTCTTCTGGTCAGTATTTGAATCTGATTCCTTGCTTTCTCAATTCCATGTATTTAGTGGTTTTGTCTGACACCTTCCTGTTAGTTTGTTTTCCTGCTGGCTTCTATTCTGTCCTTTGAAACATGGAAGTGGCACTCAAGTCATACTGCCTAAAAAGCAGCTCAGTGCCAGCTGACACGTTTGCCTCCATCACTGCTCGTGCCAGTCTGGAAAACTACATATTTTTCTGCTGTTGGGACCTACAGGGCTGTCAGAGATACCCCTCCTCTCTCCTGGATGGTGGGCTCATTTCATTTGCAGTCTTGAAAATGAAATGTGTGAAGGCGCTTTCAGATAATAAGAGTGGAAGGCACGGATGTGTTTAAAATATTCCAAGTGAGCAGTAATTATGGCAAGTTGTTACCATATTGACGTAAGAACGGAGCAGGCTTTCAGAGGTTACCTCAGCAGTATTGTAACAAGGTTCTTTCTTTTTCCTTCCCCTATTTGCTGATTATCAAGTCATTATTTTGTAAGGGGACTGTTCTGGCATCTATCTTTAGGTATAATGAGACTGGAATTTTTTGAACGTGGTTCAGATCCACCTCCAATAGGCCGTAATCTTCTTTTGAAGCTTTCTGGTCCTTGGCAACCACTGTCATGAATTGAGCCCTATGATCTTAAAGGAAGATTTGAGGGAAGCAATGTCAGCACTGCTGTTCCATTATAGCTCTCAGGTCCCTCCTTTAGGTGGCAGCATGTAAAAACAGCCTACTGCAGCACTGCAATAAGCACCAGCCACCCTTATTTTGATTCCAGAGCATCCCTTGCTGTTTGTCTCTGCTGTGGGAGTAGTTCAGCAGGGGAGAAGATAAAGCATTGGCTTAGACAAGGCAGATAAGATGCCTGAACAACTTAATTCAAGTTACACTTGTCACAGAGATGTTGCTGTCAATGGATAAATGTGCTACTCAGTCTGTATACCCTCACAGCAATGAGGCTGTTCTGCACTGATATTAAAACTACCTGATCAGATCAGCTGTGTGGCCATTCCAGTGTTATAAATAGTGTTTTTAGGAGGGTGCTACTTGTAAGAGATGTGGGATGTGGGAATTTCTGGTGTCCCAACTGCTGTGTATTCCACACTTTCCATGCATGTGACGCTGGTAAACCCCCCAGATAAGTTTTCCTTTGATGTGACTGACCAGTAGCCCTTAACAGAATGTGAAGGAAAAAAAAGGTGGTGTTTTTTATATCATTAAGTTCCTTCCTTCCAAGTCACTGTTTCTGTCTGTATTTACACCAAGGATCTATGAGCAGCTGCCAGAGGTGCAGAAGAAGCGAGAGGAAGAAAAGAGAAAATCTGAGTACAACTCATATCGCCTGAAAGCACAGCTGTACAAAATGGTAGGTGTTCTGGTCAGGTATTCATATTCAAACAGATTAGAATATATATATATATTTTTTTTTTGGCCTTGAGGTCATCAGCATTGTAGTAATATTGTGGTATTTGCACATTCTTACATGTGTGTAGAGAAAAATAATGAGGAAGCATGGGCCCAAGTAGGAAGCATGCAGAAAAGGCCATGTGCAGTGTTGTGAAAACAAGGCAGGCTGTGGAGCATATTTAATGGTTTTCCACAGAGAGTTCTTCGAGTTGAAGGCTGCTGTTTAACTCGTGGCCACTCTCACTGTAGATGGCTTTAGCCTGCAGGATTCATAGTGAACTTTGCAGCCATGCTTAATGCAGCCCTTAGTTGTCATTCTTCATTTGTCTCCAGTGAAGAATTGGCAGTCCTGATGGTGATCTGTTAGCTCTGGGGGCTGTGGATTTCACCATGAAGCATTTGGCTGATAGCTCAGTGCTGCTGTGCTGGCACTGATGGGCGTGGGATCAGCTGTGGCTGGCAAGCTGCAAAAGAAGCTGTTATCTCAGCATGGGTGTGACTGCCTCTGAACTACAAACACTTGACCAGCAGGTTGTTTTCCTGTGCTAGAAACTCACAGTACAACCAACAACAGCCCAAAGGTGAGGTGAGGGCTCCAGGATTTTGGTGAGCAGGAGAGGGAATCGGTGGGGCTGATTTTGCTGTAGGGCTTTGCTGAATCCTGTCTTGGTTTGTCATAGTGGTGACTTTCCTGGAGGGAGCTGCTTCTGTTCCAGCCAACAGCTGCTATTAACACTTCCTCCTTGGCTGTCCAGTTTGATTAACAGGTGCTTTTTGTCTGTCTGTTAAGCTCAGGTTTTGTTTGTGGCAGAAAGACTGTCCTGGATTAATCACAATGAGAAAGATGTGTGTTCCTATCACCTCCCATATGTGCACCTTATTATCTGATCTGATGTGTTGCACAGAAATATGGAATTATATGCAGTGAATGATGTGATAAATATCCTGATAAAACTGAAGAGACCCATCAGTCCCTTTTGTGAAGTGCATCTCTGGCTGACCAGTGTATTGCTTTTTGAGCAGCATTGTGGGCATTCACATGCTTTGCTTTCTCTTAAGACAATAAAAACTGAAAGGTGAGAAACACAGACAGTGTTGAAAGCACTGATGCTCAAACCTGATGCATCTTATCATAGAATCACAGAATGGCCTGGGTTGAAAAGGACCACAGTGCACACCTGGTTTCAACCCCCTGCTATGTGCAGGGTCACCAACCAGCAGCCCAGGCTGCCCAGAGCCACATCCTGGCCCTGAATGCCTCCAGGGCTGGGGCATCCACAGCCTCCTTAGGCAACCTGTTCCAGTGCCTCACCACCCTCTGTGTGAAAAACTTCCTCCTAATATCCAACCTAAACCTCAATGTTCTTGCTGTCTGACACATGCCATAAAAAAATAGCCTTCTGCAAAGCTCAGGAAGCAGGCAATAAACTGCATTATAGGCTTCACTCGTTTAAGGACACGCATTACATTTGAAAACTGGTTTCTTTTTCTTCTGGATCTTAAGCTTACCCTTCAGTTTTTAGCATTGCAACTATTCCTTGGCCACGTTGTCCTCCCAGAGCTGGAAAAAGTTATTAACTGGATGTTTAAAAGCAAGGGCTTGTAACGGATGTATTATTTGGGATACCTTCCTAATCTGACTGGGAGTTCTTACAACAGGAATTACCTCCATTTCATGCTATGTTTTTGCAGGATGTGCTCAGAACGTATTTTTTTTCCCCTAGTCTGAGAATCTCAGGTTCCAGTATGGTATGGCCTTATGGTTAATGAGTGCAGGCAGTTGCTGACTCCACTACATAGCTGGCAGAAGACACAAAATCACATCACAAGTTTTGTGTGCAGGTGTGGTGTTGACTGATATTGGTGACTCCCAGGTCAGTGCTCAGTGGCATGGCCTGTCCTAATGATACTTGCTGTCCTTCTGTCTTTGGGTTTTGGTAGGCAAGCACTGGATGTCTTGATTGGGGAACGATGTATTGGTGCCACAGCCACTCCAGGTGTGGGTGCAGCTCAGGAGGTTAACCATAAATGTTAATAGGGCAGGAACAAAACAGCTGGGGACATGGGGCTGTCTTAGACTGCTGCACAAGCTTTTGCTCAGTTACTGAGTGCTTACTCTCTCCTCCCAGCACCAGTGGCTGAACTCTTTGTGATAATGATGACGTCTATTTACATCCTAAATTCACTGCATATTGGCCATGACATAACATGGCTCTGGGGCATTGTCACTGGTGATAAAAGAGCAGACATGTAAGAAGTAAAACCAGGTACACACACCATGGATTGCAGTCCAGCTGGCTCTGAGGATGGGATTAGCTAGCACTACCAGGTGCATGCTGTTTCTGCAGGTCATCCAGGGCTCACAGGTTAAGAATATGTAATGTTTGGGAAAGGAAGAGGTGAATTAAACATCTACACACACCCATCTGTATGGATATGGTGAATTAAACATCTACACACACTCATCTGTATGGATATGGACAGAAACTTGCTAAAGAATCACTTGCCAGTGAAACCCTCACACCAGTGTCTACAGGTACAGTTACACCTGTCAGTGCTTTGAAAGGGAAACGTGCACAGCAGTTTCTGTAGGAGAAAACAAAGCTTTGTGTTTTCAGTGTGAGCAACAGCTGCTGTTATGTGGGACACACTGCTCCCTGGAGGCAGCATGTCTCCTGTTCTCAATTCCATTGAGAATTTCCTTTTAGCAGATAGGGTTTTTTTCCTCTCCTTTATGTGAATGGGCCATTTCCTTTTAAGTCAATGTAATATAGGAACCACAAGGTGTCACTGCCTCAAAAGAAAAGCAAACTCAAAAGAAACTCAAAAGTGTTTCTGGAGGTATAAGACTGAATTGCACTTGGTTGCTGCACTGTGGTATTTTTTGAGTGTTTGTTTTTCATCCCCTTGGCTACGTTTTCCCTCTTGTCAGCACCATGTTAGGGTTCTGCTTTGTCTTGTAGCTGCTTCCTGGAAGTGAAGCAAAGAGGGTAGATAGCATCTAATTGCTAGCTGAGTTTGCTGATTAGATTGCAGAGTGGGCTGGGAGCTGGAAGGAATGCTCAGAGGCTTCATGCTGTGATCATGGGGACAGATTCCACACTGAGACTCACGTCAGGGGCTTTGCTTTCTGTATGTATAAATATATATGTACATATACTATGTTAGCATGCATACTGTGTGTATAATTCATACATGTGTGCTGCCAGGGAAGAACAATCAGCATTAGCAGTGCTTCTCTGGAGTGCTCCAACATCTCGTGTGATTATGACCAAGGAGAACTGAGACATCTTCAATAAACTGATGGTTTTTCTTTCATCAGTGTGTCTGCTTGTTCTGGGAGGTATAAACTCCTGGTGTTTGCAGCACTAAGGGGCACTGTTCCGTGGTGTAATGTTCATCAGCTAATGTCAAGGTGCTTTCCAGCACTTCAGGCTTCTTTCTGACCACTTCCACAGCAGTCAGCACGGGGATGACCCTGTGTTGTCCATATTGCTGAGTGGGAAGCAGCGAGGCTGCTTTAGCTGTGCAGAGTTGTTCCTTTGAGTTGTGTTACATGCTGATACGTTCTGATCAGAACTCTTATCAGCACTACATTTATGCTTGTGATTTTTTTAGAAGGGTGAAACTGATCTGTGCCACTTTGTTTTTTGTCTTTCAGAAAATCACCAACCGTGTCTTAGGGAGGAAGGTACCCTGGAACTGATAAGGATCTCCTCTTCAAATAAAGACGTGCTGTGCTTAGCAAACCTGCAGAGAGATTGATGTGAAATAGATAAGGCAGCAAATATTGTGCAACACATGCTTTGTGGAATTCAGTTACATCTTTCTGCACTAATACAATCTTGCCATATTTATAAGATACTAAAAGATCAGTGATTTGATGCAAAAGACAGGTTTTTAAATACATGATGGCTGTGGGTAGTGGTGGGGTGCACTTCCAAAGCAAATATAGTTTTAGGAAGTACTTGGCTCATAACATATTTATAATTATGTGATTGAAATAGCAGTTTTATATGTATTTTAAATAGCTTTTAACAGGGATTTATTTTTATTTTTTTATTTCCTATCTCGATGTAGCAAACTTATTTGTAATATTTTGTACTGAAGAAAAAAACCAACCCTCAAACCATAAATAAATAATGAAGCCATTTGTAGCAACTGTTCTAGCAATCATGAAATGTCTTTGCTGTCCTTACAGATAACATCTTCAGAATCCAGGCTGTTTAGTTGCCTCCTGCTCTGCACAACACAGATCTTAAGAACTTACTGTGCATCTGTATGACAGCTATTTAAACTGGATGCTATTAGTACCTGAAAGAGTGGAGGAGTCATGACTTCATTTAGTTTTTGCTTGGTTTGCTATCTTTCTGTATTAACCAGGAGAATCTAACCTGAGGTTTTTATTTTTATCTTGTTGGGTGTTTTTAAGGCTTGGCTGTGAACGTGCACCCTCTGGGATACTTGGTTATGCACTTCATGAGCATCACAGTGGCAGAAGATGAAAAATAAAGGTTGTGGTTCTTGGTGGTAGGCCTGAAGTCTCAGTTTCGCTTCATTTTGCATCACAAAAGAGTTAACCTGATGTATAAACAGGAAAAGGCACCTGAGGTGTCCTCTGCTCACCTGGGCCTGCAAACAGTGCTTTCCTATTTTCATACCGTGCAGTTTTATGTACTTAAAATCTTCACAGCAATTTAGGTTGAGGAATAACTGCAAGAGTAAAGGCTGCATTGAGTCCTCTACAAATCTCATAGAACTTCTTGTTTCACCAGAACTTCTTGTTTCACCCCTGGCTGAGGCAGAGGTGGCCTTAACCCCTGCAGTTCACATCAGGATGCAATGAATTAAACCTTAAATGATGGGAAATAATGTGATTCTCTTGAAGGTCTGTACACCCCACTAAGTTACACGAGTCAAAGATTTGGCATAGTATTTTTCAAGCTGTGGTCTGTGCTGATGGTAGCACAGGCTGTTAAAGCAGCTGTTACGTTCTAACAGAAGGAAATAAAAGTCTGAGAGTATGTCTGGCTGTGCTTAGTAGAATAACATGCAAAAAACCAACCACCACAAAACCAAATCAGGTGGAAGGGTGACTGGTTTGGTCTTAGAAGCCTGCAGTTAAAAATGTGGTACAGAAATGTGTAGCTGCAGTAAATGAGCTCTGAGAATGACTTGTGTCCTTACACCTTTCCAGTTTTCCAAATCTGCTTTTTTTTTTGTTTTAAACCTATTTGCTCCTTCTACAACCTTCTCTTTGGATCCAGTTTGGATGCAAGCTGCTTTGTCTTTGAGTGCTGTTGGAGGGCCGAGTTGCTGAAGCAGAAGATGCTAAAATTGCTGGTACTAAGACTTGTCCTGTGATTCCCTCATAAACATATGAATAGGCTTTTTCCCTGCTACAAGAAATGCAGTTGTGTTAGTCATGAGAGATGCTGCCTCGCTGGATGCTCATTTAAAGCCACTTAGCTTCTTAAACACACTTTAAACTTTCAGCTGACAGGAAAGGAAGCACTCTAAGGGCACTGCTGCTGCCTCAGGATGGGCTTGGAAGTCGTCTTGCATTTGGATAACACAGCTGGTGGTTATTTATACGTCTGTAGTGTGCCTGTGTGTTGCTCCCTCACAACAGGGCAGAAGTCAACCATCAAATACAGATCAAAGAAGGGTGGAGGTGATCCATTCCGACAGGTTGGAGTACTGCTCCTCGTGTTTTGTGCATTGTAAAACCTTACAGAACAAAAAGCTGCTGTGAAATGAGAAAAAACAACGAAAAGAATCCGATGGTCACCGTAACTTTGTGTATTGTTAGAGTTTTGCAGCGTGTCAGCTTCAGTGAGAATGAGCTGTTTCCTCCTTTGACAGTAATGAGGAACCCCTGTTGTAGCATTTTTCCTTTGCTGGGGGAGAAGTGGTTGCTTCTGTTAAAGTCTTCTATTCAGACACACTTCATATATGTGAAGAATATATACAGGCGCAGCCTTCAGGTCACATTTTCTTATGCTTGTCTTGGGCTGCACAGTGTTAATTCTCTTTCTGAAGTACTGTAAGGGAAATGTGCTCTTTGCTTTGCAGAAGTGAAAGCACCTGTGAAACCTGGGAGAAGCTGCCATCTCTACAAGCTAAGAAAATGAAGTCTATGGTGAGGTTCAAAGAGCTGAGTCCTCGGACTGCGCCATCCTCCGTCCTTCTCATGGCTTCTTCGTGGTGGAGTCTAGTGAAGATGACTCACGTCCTTTCCACTTTCAACTCCTTGTTGTCATCAGGTCAGATAAAGCTTGTGCTGGATGAAAGGCATCTAGTGTTTACAAATCTGTGGATAGAAGCTGTTGACAGTCAGAGTCATCGGTTCCAAAATGGGAAAACTTCTTTCCAGAAACTCAGGATATCGTACTTGTCTTGTGCTGATTCCAAAGTGGAGTCATCTCTTCTTAATCCACTGCTACAGAAAGACATTTAGGGTAAATTCTGAGAAGCTGCAGAAGTTCAAGAGGACAAAACTGCTTTCTAGAACCTTGGAGGTGCAGGCTTTGGTTCTTAGTTAATCAGAAACGTTCTTTGATCAGCATTTGCCATACCCACCCCGTGCAACAGTTACTGTGTGGGTGCCAAGTACACATTTGAGTCTTACCAACAGTCCTGTTATCTCAGCTGCTATCTCATAAATGGAGGTAAAAGCAGCATGGCTGTCTTTTGAGTTGTCTCTAGAAACTGAAAGCAGCTTTGATCTAATCCTGTCATCGTTCATATTTACCATGTTCATCGCTGATTTAATGTAACGCCTGATGTTTGGTGTTGGACTGTACCCTCACCACAGTGACCCTGAGGAGAGAGGCTTGGATCCGTGCTCAGGTGGCCAAGGCAAGGAAACAGTGGGGGAAGGGCTGTAGAAAGCACCCTTGTGCTTTGAAAGGTGCCTCTTTCAAAACAAGAGGCCTCTTTGCCCTCTCAGAACAGTTTCAATTTCTCCTCTTGTCATCGTTTCCACAAGTTCTACGTTTTGAACTGTAAATGCCATCCTTACGGCCTGGTGCACGCAGTTGGGTCCTGGAGGATGTTTTCCTCCTCAGTCTACACTACTGGTGCTAAATTTGTTAGTGGTTGTGTGACCTCCTATAGGACAACGCAACAAAATGACTTTGAAGAGGAAGAAATTGATGAGAGAGATTTGCCCTGTGCACACAGGTAAGCTAGCTGCTTCCATTTGCCTGTTAAAGCATATGGACTTATGATTCACTTGAAATGAGATTCCTAATTAAAAGAAATAACGCTTCCTGGCTGCTTGTTGGTTAGTCTGGACCGGACTTCAATACAGTAAAGAAGGTTTGAATGCATTGCTTCCTTTGTGCAGCATCTATTTGCTCACCAGCTGGAGGGCTGTACGTGCCTAAAGCCTAAACTCATCGGACGCGCTCATCGTGATCTCAAGGAACAGACTCAGCTGAGCTGTGGTAAGCAGGGAGGACCTTTTCACACAAGCATGGTTTGAAAGTCAAACTTTTCTTAATATTTTTCTCCCTACATCAGCATATAAATGGAATTCCCTGGGCCAAATTAGACCCAGTGGGAGGGTGAACGACCTCCACATGACAAATGAATGCTGCGTTGATTAATAAGCTTTTGGAAGGCACTCAAATTCCGTGGTGATGAGGACAGTTGTAAGGGGACTTGATAGGGAAGGAGGTTTTCTTCTTAAACAGTCCTATTGTATTTCTGTGCCCCTCTGCTGCACCCTGGTCTTGTTCTTGCTGTTTTAAAGCTACTTGGAACTCGTCGTCTTGATGCAAAAGAATGGAGAGACTCCAACTCTGCATTGGGTCTTTTGCCCAGGTTTGGTTTGCTGTGTCCCATGGAATCATAGAATGGCTTGGTTTGAAAGGGAACCCAAGGATCATCAAGTTCCAACCCCCTGCCACAGGCATAGGCCGCCAACCTTCAGATCTGGCACTAACCCAGGTTGCCCAGGCCTGCATCCAACCTGGTCTTGAACACCTCTGGAATGGATGATTCTTGTTGCTGGCCTTGAACCTACCTCTAAGCTTGGCAGCCACGACCTTCCTTTGGAGGAGGGTGTTTGCTGGGCTCTGAGACCTGCTGGATCTGCAGGGGACACGACATGCCATGTATGCTCTGTGGCTCGTGCACGAGGGGGTTGGTTGATGATAGTGTATAATTGTTTTAGTTGGACATGTGGAATTATTTCCTCTCATAGAGTTTTCTGATTGATGTAGAGCTGCTTTATTCCATTACAGTTGTTCTGTGCAGGAGGATCCATAGCAGGCTCATAGTGAAGACCCAGCAGTGATAGAAGACCAAGTGTGAGTGCCTGGGTGGCTCCTGTGCCCAGCTCACTGTGCTGTTACCTCCTTTGGCTATGAAGAATGAATGCCAACGAGGCAGGAAGGAACACCAAGGAGTGTTCTCTGCCTTAATTCCACGGCTGTGAGCCATCCTCCACACGTGCTGCTCTTGGCTTAGGCTGGGATACAGAAATCCCTGTTTGCAGCCTCAGCTGCCTGCTGGCGTGACCCAGCTGCAGTCCTGGTCAGTGCCCTGGCTTCTGTAGGCTTTTGTCAGCAGAGATATCGAGTGATTGTGCTGTGTGCAGGGGGAAGGACGCCTGTCCCTATGCACAAAAAGGCTTTTTATGAGCAGCTCTGGATAACTCCATGCCATTATGATCCTAAGGCTTGTGCAGGACAAGTGGGTTCTGGTGCTGGCAAGGGGAAGGGAGACTTCTGCTGAAAGAATGGAGGAATGAGAAAGAATAACACTTAACAGATATGACTTCACCATGACTATATGTTACAGCATTTCTTTGGGCAGATGCCTCACGTGTGAATCACTCTGGATGTGCTTTGTGTCTTTGGGAAGTGAGCGGGGCTGCTATGGGAAGCCTGAGAATTCCAGTTTGAGAAGGTTCCCTTCAGTTCCTTCCCTTTCTTTCTGCCACAAGATGCCCTTTTCTTAGAAAGACACATCTCTGGACGTTGGTTGTGGTGCT